CTTGAGTTTACTAGGGAAGAAGAGTTAGGGAAATGAAATTTTGCTACAGAATTAGAGAGTTTCCTGAATCAATATGGTGAACTGCAAGTGTTGATAGGATCAGCAGAGCTTGTTTCCCTTGGAAGTCACAGGGTTGAAGGTGAAGTTGTACCACTAGGTGGCAGCATTGTCCAGGGTCAAATGGTGAATTGCTGTAACAGCTACTCATGGTTCATTTATACAGGTTACTCACAAGTCAGGTGTGTATACATTGAGACTGCTTCCGTATCCTTTTTTTTTTTAATTATTGAAATTTGCATTCCTGGGCTGGGAAGGCGGCTCAGTGGTAGAGTGCTTGCCTTACATGCATGAGGCCCTGGGTTCAATTCCTCAGCACCACATAAGCAGAAAAAGCTGGAAGTAGCATTATGGCTCAAGTGATAGAGCCCTAGCCTTGAGCTGAAGAGCTGAGGGACAGCACTCAAGCCCCACGACCGACAAAAAAAAAGAAAAAGAAATTTGCATTCCTGAGTTAGAGGTCTAAGTTCTTTGTTTTTAAAAGCAAAGGATAGAATAATTAATATTTTGTTTTAAAAGAATCCAAAAGGAGCTGGATTGGCTTTCTCACTGGGTACTCTGTTCTCTCTGCCTTCTTTCTGCCTGTGGTTTGTGACTGAAAGAACAAAGTTCTGCAGATAGCAAAAGATCTTTCAGCAATGAAGTAACAGCTTAACTTCTCATTTAGCCCTGCTCCAGGGCAGCTACAGAGGGACAGGCACAGAGGGACCGTAGTGGTATGAAGATATCATGTGCCACTTGCCTAGCATATGGCAGTTTATGCCAACTGGCTCCTCCTTCTAGTTCCGTTGAGTTTAGAGCAACTCAGAGAATATCACATTTGCAGTCATGACTGTTATTAATTAACTGTAGCAAGCCAGCTTTATTTAAATGAGTGAACCATAAGAAACAAAATATTTACCTTTAGGGTAATCGACACCAGGATAGCCGTAAAAAAGATCTAGAATCTGTAGTCAGCACCTAATGGTATGTGTAGCTTAGCCATTGGTAAATGCTTTTGATTGAGCACCTACTGTGTGTGCTAAGCATAGTGTCTGTGTCTGTGTCTCCTGATAGTCACTGTACTGCCTGTTGGATGCACAGGGAGATGTCGCCTCTTTTTGTCATAGTTTTCTGTAGATAATCTTTGATTAAAAACAGTGTTCACCAAAGGACCTCCACTACTAGTATTCAGACTGTTCTAAAAGCTCAAGCTATTGAATCTTAAGCCTTGTACACAGGCTGGGCTTCCATGTTGTAAATGGCACCAGCCAAGGCTGTGATCATCTGTGGTCACTGAGGCCAGTGTGTTCCTGTTTGGGTTGTAGCTTTGTTTAGAATTAAGAGGCTTATAAAGGAAGCCATAGAAACCCTGAGTTCCCTGATTGCTGTGGTACAGGAAACAAGGCTACTAGCCAACTTCCATTGTCCTGACCAGATTGTTTGAGATATGCCTTTTAAGACAGTTTGTTTGAGATATGACTTTAAGAAAATTAGGAAGCACTTGATGAGGTAGTTCAAAGCAGGCTTACTCTTATCAAGGTTTGCTTTAGGAACAATTGTAGGAAGGACACTTCCACACCTCTCCTAAGATACCTTCTTATGACCTTGCCCTTTGGGTCAGAGCCCTTTATGTGATAATCAGAGGTGACTTACTGATCTCACTGGGTTGCTGCAGCTGAACTGGGAAGGAGGAATCCTTAGCCATGGTTAAGTTCATCAGGGCCATACTTCCCACACTGGTATAGCTGAAGGGCTGCTCAGGTGAGGAGCTGTGCCCGTGACTGGTGCACACCAGCCCACGTGGGTTTTGTGTGCAGCTTCTGTTTGAAAGCTCTGTTGGTTTTCTTAGCCCGGTGAAGGCGTGACGATCTCTGTGTCATCTGCCTGGCTCTTTCTCAGGTGCCCATAGTGCATAACTGGGATTTCCCTGGAGGCTCTGTTCCAGGTTAGACCATCCTGACAGTCTGAGAGTCCTTGTAATGCACTCTGCCACGCTTTAACTTCCACCCTTCCTTAGATGGCCTCCACAGGAAATGTCACCCTGCACCCAGCCCAGGATGCTGAGTGACCCCATCACATGAGACCAGCATAGGCAACATTTTTTGGGGGGGGGTCCGGTCGTGGGGCCTAAATTCTGGGCCTGGGCACTGTCCCTCAGCTCTTCAGCTCAAGGCTAGCACTCTACCACCTGAGCCACAGTGCCACTTCCGGCTTTTTTCTTTTGCTTATGTGGTGCTGAGGAATCGAACCCAGAGCCTCATGCATGCAAGGCAAGCGCTCTACCACTGAGCCACCTTCCCAGCCGCAATATTTTTGAAAGATGTTCCCCAGGTGACTGCAAGTGCCCATCCCATTCAGACTGTGCTAGTAATGATTCTATTGTATCTTTTAAAAAAAATTAGAAGACACCTGAGATTCTTAGACAAGAGCTAAGCAGCAAAATTGACATTTCCAATTTCATGTGGGTTAAGGCATTCTGGAATACATTTGTTGTCTTGATAACTTTTTGTATTACTCAGAAAATGCATCCTTGGCTCTGATGACATTTTTATTGAAAAGGGCAAGGAGGAGGTGGTGGGGTGGGTGGAATTTTATATGTGAGTATGTGTGATTGTGTGTGTGTGTGTGTATGTGTGTTTGCTTGCACTGCCAGTCCTGGGAGGGCATTTTTTTTTATTTCTGTAAAGATTATTTGAGATTTCCTATACCTGTACGTGGAAAGATGGGGGGGGGGTTTCTTAGAGCTCCTTAGATAAGAGACCGGGTGCCCAGGGCTGTCTTTGTGGTTGTACCTTGTACACAGCTTTCATCTTCACTTGGTCTGTAATATTTTCTGTTCATATTCCTTTATCCCCTTTCATTGTCTGGTGGGTCATTGTTGCTCCCCCCTCCCCGGAAGGAGGTATTCCTTTAGAATTGTCTTCCACGTGAAGTCTAGGTAAGGAAAGCCAATTTTGAACACTGGCATAGCGAGGAATATCTGTGTGCGCAGATTTATCCTGATGCTGAGATCTGATGCTCAGGCCAGCGTGGTCCTCATCCCTCCACAGCTGAGTCATTGTCTCCTGCTGCTGAGCCCAGGCCTGTCTCTGCGGAGGCCCTGCCCTGCCCTGCCATTGAGGACTGCCTTTCCAGCTGTGGGCATCTCACAACTCACAGGGTTGGACTCTGGGTCAGCAGCTTGGGCATCACCTGGGAGATAGAGCTGAGAAGAAGCTCAGGCCCCTCCCAGCCCTGCTGACACCAGAGTCCCATGTTGATCATCAGCAAGTGCTCTGTGTGCACACAGCAGCATGGGAAGTTCTGGTCCATGGGGCGTGTCCACTCACTCTCATGCCCATCCCAGCCTTCCCCCGTGCCTGGCCTGTGTACTGCTGCTGTTCTAGACTATAAATCTAAACACCTCTCACCAGGTCCTGCTTCCCAATGGCACCACCCAGGATAACAAAAGGAGCAGTCTCTGTGGATCCTCCATCACCCAATGCAAAGCAGAGCAGATTTACATACAGAGAAATGTGGATCGATTATGAGTGTAGTGCTTCATGAACTTTTCTCCAAGTGACTACAAAGTGTCATTAGCACCCACACAGGAGAACAGAAGTATCTTGAGATTGGGAGGATAATAGCCTCATGGCAGTCTGGGAAGAAATTCATGATCTCATCCAACTGGTAGCTAGTCTTAGTGGTGCATGCTTGCATGCCAGCTATGAGAAGCATAGATAGAAAGTGGTCCAGGTAGTTTATGCAAAAAGCCAGACTCTGTGCAAAAAAGAAAAAAAAAAGATTAGAGGCATGGCTTGAAGTGGTAAAGTGACTGAATAGCAAGTGTGAGGCCTCAGTCCAAACCCCACTACTGCCTTTAAAAAGCCCTTGGAAGTTTCCATGACTCTTCCTAAATTGCCATACTCAAAAGACAACGGCTTAGGTGTTCTCTATCAGGATTGATTAATTTTGCCTATTCCTAACTTTATGTGAGTGAGTCATGAGATAGGTAATCTATTGTGTATGGCTTCCCCCCCCCCAGAGTAACGTTCCAGAAATTCATGTTGCATGTAGCTAGCTGTAGTTCATGTCTTCCTTTGCTGTAGAGAAAGGTGCACATGATTATGCTGTAGTTTATCTACTCTGGCTGATGGTATTTAGTGCCTTTTCTAGGTTGGGTGTATTATGAATAGTTTTGTATCTATCTTTTGTGATGAAATGTACTTTTTTCTGTTGGGAACATGCCTAGAGATAAGATTCTTGTCCCAGAATCTGTGTATGTACAGACTTTCTCTTCAGCAGAGCAGGGAGGTGAGATGCTACATGCCCTCCATGGTTGCCAGTCTTCAGTTATAGCACTTCTGGTGGACAGGTGGGACTTGTCTTCGTGGCTTTACCTGGCATTTCTTTGACAGGTGATCTGGTCAGGTACCTATTCGTACCATTTTCTACTGGGTTGGCTGTTTTCTTGTTGAATTGTGAGAGCACTTCATTTAGTCTTTGTAGGTCTACATATTACAGATAACCTAAGAGCTGCTCCTTTTGCTCTTTTAAATGTTGTCTTTTAATAAGTAGAAGTCCTAATATGATCCGATTTATCAATAAGCCTTTTCATATTTTGTGTTTCTGCCATGTTTAGTTTTGTAAAACCAGAGGGGTAGAATACACAAATACTTAATCCAATATAAATTTAATTAAAAAAATTAGAGTCTGAGAAACTAGAAGACATGAGAAAACGTAGACCAGGGAGACAATAAGAGACTTAAGCATGCCCTGTAATGCTGTGGGTGTATTATTACTGAGCAATGCATTTTGCTTGGAGCTTCTTAGAAGTCAGACTGGAAATGGAAGCATGGATTGTCTTTCAGCCCTAGGAGGGTATCGGACCCCACAGGTGCGAAGGGGTTGGCCAGGCCACAGGGCACAGTCACAGGTGATTTGAATCTAAAAGCACTAACAGGCATGCTTTCTGTTGCAGGTTACTCAACGATAGTTATGACCTCCCGGTTACGTGCGTTGGGTGGAAGAATTAATAACATACGTGCCTCCGAATTACCCAAAGAGAAAACCCGATCCGAAGTCATCTGCAGCATTCGCTTTTTAGATGGCTTGGTGCAGACCTTTAAGGTTAATGTAAGTTCTCTTGTGTATTCCGACATGGGTTTTACTTGCAAGGTGAAATTTTAATACTTTTTTTTTAAAAAAAAGGAAAGCATGAGATTTCAGGTCTTGAATGTCAAAACTAGACTTGAAATAGTCCTAAAACCTTGCGTACATCTCTCCATCCCTTAGGGATGTGAACTGGGTGGTTCTGGGGAGTGCGGGCAGAGTTGCTGCTTCTAAGAGCTCCCTCCCCATTGCTTCTGGAGGTCGAGCACTCCTCAGATTCTGCACCCTTTGTGCGCATGTCATGTGATATCTTAACAACAGTTACTGTAATTGGCTTGCCATTAACCGTTCACTGTGAAGGCAGGAAGGCTGTCCTGGCACAGGGCTGGGCATGCACCCCAAGCTTGCTAAACGTGTGAGAGGATGGGGCACGAAGCTGCCCAGTCCTGTGTGTGAGGAAGGGCATCAGAAGCGTGGTGGGAATCAGAGAACAGCAGAGCCACAGAACTTAAAGCATCACAACTCCCCTTCCCCCCTCCCGTCTTCCTCTCTACCCACAAGGTTACCTTCAGCTGACCCCAGGGCACAAAGGAGCTTGATACAGGCATCATCACAATACATGAAACATAAACCTGGTTTGCTGTTTTCTTCTCCCAAATCAGAGGTTGGGCATTGCCCGGTGCTGGGGCTCTGAGCACCCCACAGCAGTGACAGGATGTGGTTTCCGAGTGAAGAGTGGAGATGATCTCTGTCTATTCCCACCTCTACCCTGCAACCCCAGGCCCTCAGCTGCTCCCAGCCTTGAACCCCGGCCCTATGCTGGGCAAGGGCTGCTCTGCCCCTGAGCCTCATGCCAGTACAGAGCTAAACACTCAATGGAAATAGTATGTAGTTCACAGTTTCCATTTTGAGATTTGTGTGTATGTGCGCGTGCGTGCTGGTACTGGGGCTTGAACTCAGGGCCTCAAGCTTTTAATGCTCTACGACTCAAGACACATCTCTAATTTTGGGCTTTATGCTGGTTAATTGGAGAGAAGAGTCTCTCAGATTTGTCGGTGGGGCTGAATTCCAACGGAAATTCCCAGATCTCAGCCTCTCAAGTAGTCAAGATTATAGGTGTGAGCCAACAGCCCCATGTCCTAGTGAACAGCATTTCTTACAGTACATCAGAATGTCTAGGATTTGAATTAAGAGTAGGAACCTGTCCAGCCTGTTTGTTTGTTTTGGTTGTTGTTGCTGTTGTGCTGGTCCTTGGGCTTGAACTCAGGGCCAGGTCACTGTCCCAGTGTGTTCAAGCTAGCTCTCTACTACTTGACCCACAGCTCTCCTTCTGGCTTTTTGGTGGTTCACTGGAGATACAAGTCTCAGGGACTTTCCTGCCTAGTCTGGTTTCAAACCACAGTCCCAGATCTCAACTCCTAAGTAGCTAGGATTACAGACTAGGTCTTTTGAAACAACCACTGGAGGGGAGGCCTGAGTATCTGAGTTGTAAGTGCTCCGTTTCCCACCCATGGTCTTGTGCCCACTGTAATGTGGAGAGCTACTGATTCCAAGTGCTTTTGGCAGGGTCATCGTCACAGGACTTACTTTCAGTTTCCTTCTTAAGCGCAGCTTCTGTGGAATTTTGTGATTAATCGATTCCTGTGAGGACCACAAATGCCACCTCCAGGTGCTGTAAATGGACTGCTTAGCTGTCCATGAACAAATCTGGGATTGTATTGGAGCTGCTCTTCAGCAATACACCTTTGTCTGGACAAGAAGCTGCACATTTGCTAGTATATATCCACTCAGCAAATGTTGGCTGAACACCCACTGTGGACCAGGCTTTGTTCCATAGTAGTAAACAAAACAAAACACAAAAATGTGGCTCTTTTGAAACTTGCCTCCCAGTAGGTGGAGATGGATGGGACTTTTAGACATGACCAAAGCTGTCCGGTCACTGAAAAGATGAAGAAACTACATGGCTGTCTGGAGGAAACACATTCCAGAGAAAAAGCAAAGGCCTTCAATGCAAAGACCCTGAGGCAGAAATCTTTATCATGCAGTTACAGAATGTAAAGAAACCTGGACTGAAGGAGTGTGGAGCTAGCTGGGAAGCAGGAGATGAGGTCAGAGAGATATAACAAGTGTAGATGGGGGGGGGGGGATCATGTAGAACCTCCTAGATGGTTCTGTAGATGGTTCTGTGTCAGAAACCAGACGGAAGCTGACCTGGCCTGTGTCCCTGTGTGCAGTAACCAGGGAGAAAAAGGGCTGAGATAATTGTAGTCCCAGAGCGAGCTGCTGATGCTGGGGACCGGCTAGGAGGAACCCAAGTCTGCAAACACTCTGAGCCAATAGGCTTTGCTGTCACTGGGGATTGGGGATATGGAAGCACCAGAGGTCTCGAGGGACTCTCAAGCCTTGTGGCTTGAGCATCCCTGGCCAGAGTTGCAGTGTCTGGAGATGAGAAGCCATGGGAGGGGCAGGCTTCGGGGTGGAAATGGCAGTTGCACAAGTTAGGAGACCAGAGTAGGACCAGGCTGGGGATACTGTGTGGCTTTTCCCAAGAAGACGGGGAGGGCAGGGAGGGGCTTGGCCTGGCTGAGGTCATGTGAGGAGTGAGCTGAAGGAAAGTAGGCAGGCACAGGGCATGCTGATCGAAGGGTTACAAAACAAGAGGCGAAGGCACTAAGGAGGCCAAAGGGGACCAGCCAGGCAGAGGAAGCTGAGCAGGAATGTCGGAGAAAAGCGTTGTCAAAAAGAGGAGCTGTTGCCCTCAGCGAGGCTCATATGAAGAAGCCTCAGGACAGAACCTGGTCAGCACTGGTGTCCAGAAATCTTTTATTATTCAGGCACAGGTGTCTGTAATCCTAGCTACTGAGGGGGCTGAGATCTGAGGGTCGTGGTTCAAAGCCAGCCCAGGCAGAAAAGTCTCCAGTTAACTAGCACCCAGAGCTGGAAATGGGGGTGTGACTTGTGGTAGAGTGCCAGCCTTGAGCCACAAAGCCAAGTAAGAGGCTCTGAGTCAACCCCCAATACTGGCACAAAAAAAGAAAAGAAAAAAATCTGCTGCCCTTGGAAGCTCGCAGCATGCAGCCTCCTCCACAGTGGACTTGCTCCAGCCGGGCTGCTGAGAGTTTCCTCACTAAGTACTTTTCTCCCTGTAGGGGATAGTTCCCAGTCTCTTCCAGGCTCTAGCCTGGACTGCCTGTGACCAGGACTGGGTTTCTGCAGGGAAGTAGCTTTGGATGCCTTGTCCTTCCATCCCCATCCTGGGAGCAAGCAGGCTGTAACAGCAAGATGGGGTAGTAAAGGTGACCTCTTAGGAGGTGGAGGCAAGCCTTCCTTATGATAAATACCTCTTTAATCGTATTCCTTGTGTGGATCGGATGAATTCTACAGAATTGCTTCTGAAATATTTGAATTCTGTACTGTATGCCGCATAGTGGGAAGTCAGGGTTCTGGGATTAAACAGGAACAGACGAAGTCAGGTGGTCCGGATGTCTATCAGCCGGTAGTTTTCAGTTTGCAAGGTATGGAACCTCTGTGTGCCTGTGTCTGCTCACTGGCAAGGAGGATGCTGATAAGTACTTTGCAAAGGTGTCTCAACAAATGGAGATTATAACCAGGTATAGTGACTCCCATCTATAATCCTAGTTTAGGCCAAAGGGGGAAAAAGTTTATAATTCCCCCTCCTCCATAGTTGTTATTCCGGCTGTGCAGGAAGCATAAAGAGGAGAATGGCAGTTCATGCTGGCCAGATGCCTAGGCATGAACGCAAGACCGTAGTTGAAAAATAAGTTTGCAGTTCTTTGCTGCATTAAGAGAGTCCCTTGTAATTTCGGAGAGAGAATGTCTCATGACACCGAGTTGTCAGTCCACCCCTGTCAGTCTTTCTATACAACAATTAAGATTCTGTTATAATGATGGTGCCCTGGGTAGAGGGAGGGCCAGACGCAGGGGGCCCTTGGACTGGAAAGGGAGCAGCTTCAGCAAATAGGCATATGGTATGTTCTCACACTGCAAACCAAATCCTAGGAAGGCTGCCCCAAAGCAGTGGCTGTGGAAGAGCCAGAGCTACTTAATCCTCCCCCTCTCCCCTCACTGGTCACCGTGACCCACTTCCAAGTACATTACCTGCTCTCCGGAACTCACAGAATGATCTACCTTTGCCTGTTCTGTACCCTGTCTATTTCTGACTCACATTGTTCTAAGTGAAATGTGTTGCTTCAAAGGATTCCTGGGAAGTATGCAAGTGAAAATAGAATTTCCTGTTCCCCGACAGCGCCGGCTGGTTTTGTCTCCTCACATCTTTGCCTTTGTTGCACCTGGCCATCCACTTCTGATGCCCACGCAGCTTGAAGGGAGGGTGGCACTCAGCTGCTGCAGGGGTTGAGCTTCTGCTTGGCCCCAGCTCAGGCTAATCATCTTGGTGTCCACCGTGGCTATATCAGCACTGGACGCTCAATGTCATAGTCACCATACCCAGGGCAGGCCAGCCAGGAAAAGGGGTGCTTCTGGTGGCTCTGTCCTGATGCCGTGCCATGCCACGCCACAGCTGCCCCATAAATACTGGCACGGGGCACCCAGTCCCACTCCAGAGTGACCACGTGTCCACACTGGTTTTCTCACTTCAGGTGATGAGGAGCAGCGAGGCAGATAATCCCACAGGGTGACATGGGCCAAATCACTCCCGAGGGTATGTCAACTGGCGTTTAAGTATTTTTAGCTGTTAGTGGAGAGTTTTCTTTCTCTGCCCACACTTCTGGGCTTCCCTGGTTGTGGGAGCTGCAGCTGAGTCCTGAGGAGCGAACAGAAAGTGACTTGGGATTAGCGTTGCTGGAGGGTAATCCGTAGACGCCTTTACTGTGATCCCAATGTGTGAGTTTTCTGATTTGGGCAGACCAGAGAACCTCGGCTAAGAGGAAGGAAGCAATCAGAGACTCATATGGTCTCGAGGCTCACCTACACAGCTTGTCTTAGTGCTCTTTCCCTTATATATCATGCAACCACGTAATGGGCCACGTGTTTATAAAATCTCTGAAATTTTGACTTCCTTTTGCCTGCGGAAAAGATGCTGTCACCTCTAGTTCTTGATCTGCCTTAATATTTCTCACACTTGATTTTTCTTTCTTTCTTTCTTTTTTTGGTCTAGAAACAAGATACTGGCCAGTCACTTCTGGACCTGGCATACACCCACCTGGGCGTGACTGAAAAGGAGTATTTTGGTTTGCAGCATGGTGATGACCCGGTAGACTCCCCTGTAAGTTCCGAGCATGTAAAATGTACTGACCTCCTGCCAGGGCTGGTTTCATAGCTTATGTTTTCTTGCCCAACAGAGATGGCTTGAGTCAAGCAAACCCATCAGGAAGCAGTTGAAAGGTTGGTGTGATCTTTTCGTTTCAGTTGATCATTAGCCTGTGGCACCCATATCTCTCCTCATACCAGGGAGCCTGTGACACAATCTGCTGCCTGAATTCTAGGGGACTCAGGACACAAAGAGAGCCAACTTCTCAGTGAGCACACATCCAAATCTGTCTCAAAGGTTCTTACCAGCTCGCTGACAGATAGAGGAGCAGGGAGTAGGCAGCTCACAGTGAGAGGCCCACATCTTTCATCTTATAAGGAAGGAAGGAGATGGATTTTTTTTTTCTGCCTTACATGAGTCAGGGTGGGAAAGAGAGACAGAGACAGAGACAGTTCTCATACTTTCCGTCGGCACAGCTGCAGTCAGTGGAGACGGAGCCATGGGGAGATGATGTCACAAACGCGAAAGACGTCAGGCAGCCATCTGGCCACATTTCACCGCACCCCTGCGCGTCTCATTGCATCTCATCCTGCATTTCCACCATGCATTGCACTCTCATGCTTAGACACCCAGTGCCCCAAATAGTGTTCAGGGCCTTCTCCATGTCTTGTCCTCACTCCAACACCTGCCATTCTTCAAGGCTGCTTAGAACACATCTCCTTTTACACCAAACACCATCAGTTGCTCTGTCTTCCTTTTCATGTATCCCTATCTGCTTCCCGGCTTCTTGCCCTCATCACACCTTTGGTTGCCTCTCCTAGCTGCAAGTTCCTTGAGTTAAGACCCTTGCTGTCTTCTCTGCCCAGCACACGGGAGGCATGGCCAGTGACTGGGAAAGCATTAATGGACAGGTGGATACACACACACACACACACACACACACACACACAATGGACAGGTGGATACACACACACACACACACACACACGCACGCACACACGCACGCATGCATGCATGTGCACGCACACACACAGTGTTCCAGCCCCCAGGTCAGAAGCAGACAAAAGTGGCCATGGCTACCCTCACCTGGGGTCAGGTCCTTGAAGCTCTTTACCTCCCACAGCAAGACCTTGGCATTCAGAAGTGCCCAGGGGGACCACAGACCAAAGAGCCCCTTTCCCAATCCATGCCTGTCCCCGTTGTCATACTCAGGGCGTGGTTGGGTGTTGTCCTTCATTCTGCCACTGACTCATTCTTTCAGCACATGTGTCCCAGCTCTGAGGGGCGAGGGGGTGGCGAGCAAGGCGCCCTGCTAAGCTCTGGAAATCCAGTCCAAGTTGGATCTGGACCTTGCTTGCAAGGAGCTCACAGCCAAGTATGGAAGTAGACAGGAGAGTTCTGGATAGTCCTGTGCCTAGGGTAGGGTAGTCTGGGTGCAAGGAGGAGGATGAGAAAGCGCAAGAGTCCATGCCTGACACACAAAAGTAACCAGAGGAAAGAGCATCCAAAGCAATAGGACTGTCAGGTGGGTGGAGAGCCTGCACACACAGAATTATGGCGCCACCCGCTGGTACCCAAGGACATGTACAAATTCACTTCAGCTCCCACCACCATTAGAGATTCTTGGAGCACTCACCAGCCAGAGGTGGTAGAAGGTACTAAGAAGAGGCTGGGGTGGAACCTGGGGTGAACCAGAGCAGAGGAGGCAGTAAGCAGTAGGATCAGAGAAGGGAGCAGCCTGGAGAAAGACTTGCATTTTAGAGAGGGAGAAAATGCTAACTACTAAGCATGGAGATGGGACCAGAAAGAAGGTAACACTGATAGGAAGATCTTGGGACCCTGGTAGCACAGTCTGATCTTTCATTGCCATGTTTGTTCAGAGAAGTGGATGAATTGTATCCACACAAGGGAACTGACTGTTGATGCTGATGCATGAAGCCATATTCGAGTTTGTTTGTTGTGTAATACTCATTAGCATAGTAATAATTTTGACATGCCCTGCAATGAAAGCATAAAATGTTTTCTGCTGTAAATGTGATTTTGCAATGTGGTGTAACAGAATCTCAAGCCCCCGGGCGGTAATTCCGGTTTCATTGTTAGCTGCGTGACCTAAGGCTAGTTGCTTCCATTTCTAAGCCCATGTTGGCTTTTCTGAGACAGAGCTATTGCCAGCAGCCTAGCCTCCTGATAGTTATGGTGGCATTTAAAGTCTAGAATGTGCATGAGAATGTTTGAAAAGTATGCCACTGTATAAATGTGAGCTCTTCTTTGTAAATGATGTGTACGATGCTGATTTAAGGATTTCAAAAGTGGATAATGGAGTGCATTGCTCTAAGTTAAATCTGGAACAGGCGATGGACGATACAGCTGTGTATACCCATGTGTTGTAAATACTCTTTCTAGTGTTCAATATTTATTAGATAAGTGAATGACAAATGAATTTTTTATTGTGATTCCCATATGAAATCAAATGCTTCAAAACACTAACACTTTTATCTCCTGTAGACTCCAAGATTTCTGAAAGTTAACTTATGCACTCCTTAACTGAAATCAGCCCTTTTAAAATGGAAAAAGTTAATGATTGACTGCAAAGTGCATCACTTATGGGAGAATAGCAACTTGCATACATTGGCTTCTTTTTTTTTAAGGGAAAATTTAATTTGTTTTTGAAAAATGTTGTAGGAGGTTTCCCCTGTACTCTGCATTTTCGAGTAAGATTTTTTATACCTGATCCCAACACACTGCAGCAAGAACAAACCAGGTAAAAAACCATTTTCTTAAAGCTTCCTCTTTAGTATATAAAAGCGAGTCACTACAAATGTACTCTTCATTTTATAACTGTGGCCAGATAATTTGATTTGGATATAACTGAAGCAATAGTCATCATCCATGTAAGAACTGGGGGTATGTACTGAAATGTTAGTGCCAAGTTGGTTTTCAGTCTTGGGCCTACTTCACAAACCTGCCGAATTGGTCAATTCTAGCATGCTGGTAGCCTCCTCCTCCTCCTCTTTTCCCTTCTCCTCTCTCTCCTTTCATATCCTCCGCCTCTCTTTCCTGATGAGCAGTCAGTGCAAAGCGTGAAAAGTCCTTATTCACCAATGCAGGCTGAGTTTCGAGGACAAAATAGTAGAGCAGTCACCCCCTAGTCTCCTAGCACCCTGTCACTGAAGGGCTGGAAGGGAGACCCTGGAGGATGACAAGACATGACATCTCTGTAATCAGAACTTTCCATCAGATTCCCCTCCGCAGGAGCTAGAAAGGAGAACAGACCAGACTCAGCTTGTCTTCATGGTGACTCAGCAGGTGCAGAAAGAATGTGAACCAGATAAGAGAGGAGGGCTGGGGTAGAAGCTGTTTACCCCGCAGGCCTTGGAGTCTGCTGCCTCTGGTTGGTCCCAGCCAGTGGGGTTTCTGGGAAGGGAACTGAACAGAGTGTTTGGCAACTGAGGAACCCAAGCACCAGAAAGCTATTGCTGTTGAAACGCAGACTGTGTCAACCACTTTCCCTTCCCAGTGTTGTGTTTCATCTGTCCATTTGTTGTTCTTAGGGAGAGAAACTATTTCACCTGGAAGAAAAAGTAGAGGGTCAGAGTGTTGACTCCTACTCTATGACCATTAGACCTTAACCAAGGAAGTGGAGTAAACTCTGACCTGGAGTGTCTGTTCCTGCTTCCTTTTTTTTCTCTTCTTTTTTGTCCATTTCACAATTACATTTTAATTTTTCATATGTTTACAAGCCAAACATTCGTTTATTACTCTAGGTTTCTCTATTCCTCTTGTTACTTCCTTTGTGCATCTCTCCCTTCCACAATAGCACACCTTGCAGATTTGACTGTGTTGACCTTTATGTTAAATTTTAAGCCAGTGAAAGGAAAGCCTGGTGTTATTCACACAAATGCATGCTCCTTGGTGGTTTTTCCCTGCTTAGCCCTTTATCTTGATGAACTGAGGACAGTAGAAAGACATTCAATTCAGCAGGTCATTTCTTAAGCTAATGGACACAGTTGGTGGCATCATCTGTCAAAATGTGACTGACCCTACCAGGGTTTCCCTAGACCAATACAAAATAACAAGATTCCATTTGAGGGATATTTCACAACGATATGAAGAGCTGAGCATAGTGGTACATGCCTATAGTTCCAGTCTCAGGGAGCTAAGGCAGGAAGATCATTTGAGGTCAGGAGTTTATGCTCAGCATGTGACCAGGAGAGACCAGCCATGGCAATGTAGTGAAATCCCGTCTCAAACAAATAAAAATAAACTCATATGAAGAATTATGTATATGTGTACATATATGTGTGTATGCTACATTATATGCATTATATTTTGTGTTATGTACAAATATGTACATGTAAGTTTTCCTTTTAATTAATTTTGTGTGTGTGTGTGTGTGTGTGTGTGCGTGCGTGTGTTCTGGGGATTGAACTTGGAGCTTTACATTCTTGGTATTTTTGCTTAAGGGTAGTGCTCTACCACCGGAACCACAGCTCCACTTCTGGCTTTTTGCTAGTTAATTGGAGATAAGAGTCTAACAGATTTATCTACCAAGCTGGTTTCCAACCACAGTCCTCAGATCTCAGCCTCCTGAGTAGGTAGGATCACTGGCGTGAGCCACTGGTACTCAGTTCTATTTCCTTTTTTAAAATGCTCTTGTGCCCCTCTAAGCTGATGTGGCTGCTGGCTGATAGGTTCCAGCCTCACGTGTGAATTACACTACCTAAACTCATCTCTATCCCCTTGTCTTCTCCCTGTGATACCGAAGCCCAGGTTGGTGGCATACAGTGATCATATTAGTGACAGAGCTGGAGGGAGTGGTTTCCAGTGACAGATTAACCCAGGAGTCCCTCTCCAGTCACCTTTTTGGTCATCAGCTCTCCATTCTGTTCCCCATGGGAAAGAAGCTGGTGACAGACACCCCGCAGGAGCTGCTGACAAAGTCTCCCTTGCTGATCTTTCCTGCCATGGAGAGACACCTGGACATCTGAGGGAATGGAAGCTGGAGAGAAGATGCAGGAGGGGGAATGAAACAATCTTCAGATCTCCAAACAGTAGGAAAAGGGGAATTAGACGTACTGGGTCGTTGAATCGTGGCCAGTAGGCAGGGCTCTGGAGAGGCAGATTTTAGCTCAAGATGAATAATAGACTAATATTTGCTCTTACCTAAGTCCTGGATAAAATTGGGTTTATCTGTGTCTCTCTTTAAATCAGATGGTCAGCCAGGACTGCCAGATCTTTTTTTTCTGTGTGAGACCAGGATTGCACCATTAATTCATGTGGGGTTTTTTTCCCTTCTTTTTTTAAGATACATGAAAAGTTTTACCTATATCCTAGCACCCTGTGTTTTAGCTTTGCAGCCCATCCAAAAGTTCCTAAAAGTCAAGGAAGTAAATAGATAGTGTTTTTAAAAATTATTATTATTTCTTTTTAAGTACCTAGGCAGGAAAATCTTATTGCATTTTTCTGAAGTTGAGGCCCTGGATGCGGTACACCTAAGAGGGTCTTTACATTTCTGAATTTTAGTTTGCCCAAGTTTCTCTTATAAATAATTTTTTATTCTAATTGTTAAATAAATGTCTTTTTACTGTGTGCCCCCACAACTGCTGTTCCTGATAAATTTAGTTCATTCTAAACAGAATCTCACTCCCTGGCAATCTCTAATTAAACCTTAGGCTCATTCAAGATACCTACATAGTCTCCTAAGTTTGTGTTGCACTTCATGGTTTAAATTTCTTCAAATGTGTGATTTCATGGAGTTGATACAGGAATTTTGTTCAGCAGATGACAAGATGGCCATCTCCATGTTGTTCTTGTATATATCCCTAGGAAAATGTCCTGATTAACTGGGATCTTCAGTGAAAGCTCATATTTATTTGTTTTCTTTCTTCTTTCTTTCTGTCTTTTTCCTTCCTTCCTTCTCTCTTTTTCTTTCTCTTTTTCTCCTTCCTTCCTTCATCAGTCAAAGGCCTGGGCACTGTCACTTGAGCTTTTGTGCTCAAGGATAGCACTCTCCCTTTTCCGGTTCCTGGTGGTTCATTGGAGATAGGAATCTCACAGACTTTAATGATGTGGCTAGCTTTGGACTGCAGATCTCATCCTCCTGAGTAGCTAGGATTATAGTCATAAGCCACCAGCACCCGGCTAAAGCCCAGATTTATGAGTAAGTCATCTGTACCTCTTACCCCTCTCCTCCTCCTCTGGGTAGCATTGTGAGAAGAGAGAACACTTAATTCTTGTTGAATGTCAACTTGCATAAACATAGAAACTAACTAGAAAGAACAGTTACATTCTCCTGGGTGGGAAAGAGACTCTGGTGCTGCCCAGGCATGAACACGTGCAACACCACCTCAGCACTGACGTTCAACACATGGCAGGGCTTTGATAATTATATCAACGTAACACTGAACTAGGACACAGCCCAAGCTTTTTAGTCATTTACATTTATAATGAGTTTGTAGCATACAGATTTTTTTTCCTTTTGAGAGTCCAGGTTAAAAAGTCAGGAATGGCTAATCCCATACAACCAATCTGGAGGCCAGTTTTCTCATGGGGGAGGGGAGAGAAGTATAGAGATAGAGGCAGAGGCAGAAAGAGATAGATGGTGGCAGAGTCATTGAGTGGCTGGAATGAAGGGAAATTTTCAAAGTCCTAGAAACATAGCCCTGAACTGCACATACTGTGTGAAGTGGTTGTTTTCTATATCATTTAACTTATTATAAAGGTGATATACAGAGGGGGTATGATGATGTAAGTTAGGTAGAGAGTACATTTCTTCTTGGACAATGTCACCCCTTCCCTTGCTCTCTCTGTTTTCCCCTCCCATCTGTGTGAAGTTTTCATGTCTCAAAAAAGCCAGCTCCTTGACCTCTGTCAACCTGAAGGAATATGACACTGATTTGTTTAAATTACCAAAGTGATCTCTTTGCTATCCCTGAGAGCTTCTGCCTTGCCCGTGTTAGATTTCAAGAGGTATCCATCCCTCTTGTCATCTTGGCTAGACCCTGGAATGTCTATCCCACTTGAATCTGGGTTTTAAAAAAGAGTAGGAGCCGCGAGCCAAGCGTCACATGTATGCCGAGTCCCTAAATATAAATGTCTCCAGGCGCTTCCTGGCCCGCTGCAGGGCTGTTGATGGGCTCCTTCCTCCTGGCCCCCCCACCCCCATCTGTCCTGGGACAAAGGTGTAGACTCTCTGGCTGAGGGGCTGGTGAAATCTTGGCCCTAAGCCAGGTGTGGGGTTGGGAAAGCTGCGCATTGGTGGCTCACAGCAGGTGTGGAATACAGCTTGGTGGGGGGGGGGGGGCTGGCACCTTTTGCTTCACTGATGCTTTTGCTTCTGCTCCAACACCCACAGTTCCTGGGCCACAGGAAAAAACCCAGCTGGGTGTTTGCACTTCAGCCAAAGAGGTGTCTTCATAGAAGCCCCTCCCAGCATCATGATACAGAGAGAGTGTGGGTGTGTGCCTGCTGGCTTAGTATTTGGGACAGTAGCCTGGCAGTATGTAGGGGCTGCTTTTCAGAAGGCCTGTGGGTCCTTATGCCTGACTAGCAAGGCCGAGGTCTGGGGTACCCCTGGCAGCTGTATCAGCCCATTGGCAGGCAGTTTCCACCCCGTCCCTGCTCAGTTCTTCTGAGGATGGGGCAGCTTTGCAATATGCAGAATAACACCTGATACCTGATAGCACCTAAATAGATAGATGGTATTTGTGTGTGTGAGTGTATGTGAGTGTGTGTATATGTATGCGTGTATTAAATGTGCAGATATTTGTCCTTGACTCATCAAAAAAATTTTGCTTATTTCAGTTTGAATGTGAATTAATGAAAATAATTGTTTCATAGGCATTTGTATTTCTTACAACTGAAGATGGACATTTGTGAAGGAAGGTAATAAGAATTTTGCATTTTTCTTTTCCTGTTAGGCTGGCCAGATATTCCTGGTTTTAATCTAATGAGGGTACCATTCTGGCAACAATATTTACATGATAACAAAGTCTGGGGGCTGCAAATTGTATCATTGTATCCCATATGCCCTCCACTGCAAACATCTGTTTCCCACTCAGACTCAGTGTAGAGGCTATGGTTTGCTAAACTTAATTGCTAGTATTTCAGCTTTATTACAGAAGATACAGTTATCTTTCTGGTAAAGACCCAAGACTTTTTAAAGGGACTGAGAGATCTTTAACTCAAAACATGTGCTACTCAGAAAGGCAGGGCAGGCTTGGGTTAGATCCACTTCCCCACACCCTTTGGCACTGGGAATGATTCACATGCAATCTCAGACCCAAGCCTGAGGTAGCCATCCTTCAGCAACTAGAATGTATCTGAGAGCTGCCCCAGAGGAAGATGAAATTCCTCACCTGTGGTCCCAGAGCTGCCTGCTCCAATTCCTTAAGTGTTTTCTTAATTTGCAGGGGGAAAAAATGTTGATTGGTCAATTGATAGAAAGTCCCACCTATAATGTTTTTTTCACCCCATTTTTGCTCCTGAGAGTTTAATTCTGTTGAGGAGGGTCAGAGACCATGGCTTTCTGTACCATGAAGGAATTGGCAGCCTGCTTGGGGAAATGAGGCAGAAGCCCGTGAAGCAATTAGAACCACTACAGGCTGAGACCACAATTGGCCTAGGATTTCAGGAACTCTCCTGCTGGTGGCCTAGGAAAGAAAAGTCTTTGTGGAGTGCTGGGATGAGCCAGACTTGAGGTTGGTGGGGGAATGAAGAGTTAGATTTCCCTGGGCAGTGAGAAACCTGCCCCTTGCCCAGCTGGCAGCCACATGTTAAGGACTTGGTGAGAACAGAGAGGGCTTTACTTGTTAAACACTGGCAACATCTCCCACAAACCAGACAGGAAAGAAAGTTGAGGACTTTTGAAAGCAGGGGAGGATGTGGTCAAAGCCACATCTACAATGATTGCGTCAGTGTGTCCAGGGAAAACTAAAAAGGCTGGGGCTTCGGTGTAAGTGGAAGGGAATGGACAGACTGGGGGAAGCCAGTACAGAACTCTAGGCCAGGGGGGCATGGCAGGGGTGATTACATATAGGAGCCAGTGGAGACAAGGGCATCCTTGAAGATAGTCTTGCCAGACCTGTTGCCGGTTTAGTGGTTTCAAAGTTAGAGAATCCTTGCAATTCAGCTCATTCTGACCTCAGGGATACAAACTTTCTCTGCTGGGTCAATCTTCCTCCATCCCTCTGGAGATCGGGAGCTCCTTTTTCCTCTTTCAAATGACTCAGGTGAAATGGCTCATCCCCTTCGTAGGTCCAGGTACAGTCCACAGCTTTGGAGACTGGTTTGTTCTGTCTCTTAATACTACACACGTACTCTTGTTTTCCTGCAAATATTTTGCAAACACCACTGTGAACTGTGCTGGTTACTAAACCCAGGGCCTGCCTCCTTAGCTTCCATTGTATTCCTCCAAATACTGGAGATTGTCTTCATTTTTATCTTCAAGTAAAATACCTCTTGGTATTTCTGTGTGACTCTGTAGGAACTTGTTGAGACTATCACGTCCTGGTTTAGATCTCTAGTGTTGTTTGTCAGGTCTGCAGCTGGCCTTCACCAGCTATTCTATCAGGAGACAGCCTCTTCTATCAAACATCTATCAAACAATCTCAGGCCATTTATGACTGAGGATGTTTTGTTGCAGTTTGCATTGCTCCCAGATGTTAAATCCCCTGACTTGGAACCATCAATAGTAGCCATTACTCCAAGCGACATCTCATCGCTGTGGAAATGAGGGATGTAGGTCAAGATGGAGACACTAGAACCCCAAGAGAAATAAATCTGTCTAGGGACATGTGGAGAGTTGAGAGTAGAACACAGACCTTCACTACTGTATAGTATGTGTTTCGGATACTATTTTTTGGCCATGTTTTTTTCCTCTGACTTTATAGAATTGTTCCTTCTATCTTGAGTAAGTCTTCTTAGTCACTTTGTGAAGTGCTCCCCAAATCTCATTTATATGCCCTTTCTCTACCAAGAACACTGGCTAGATAGAAGACCATCTTGGTAGCTGAAACTTATCCAGTATCTTGCCTGCTCTCCCCTAGGTACTGTGGGCCTCCAGGTGAATAGAAAGATAGTGAGCATCCTGAGATGCATCATATTGTTGAAGAGACAGCAGTCCCACAAGGAATATAGTTACTTCAGGCTTTCTCAGTGAAGGGATGTCACCTTTATGTGGAGCTTCAGGACCACCAGAAAATAGCACACTGGTCAGAAAGGGAAACCAATGTGTGGGGGGCCAGGGTGGAGAATCAGGTTAGACATAGATGTGGTGATTTATTATCCTGAGAACTTGATGGGCTACCATGAAAATTTCATGTTTTCTCCATTACCAAAGAGGTTACTGGGAAAGTGCTTTTGAAGTCTTGGTGTCTCCTCCAGTATCACGATCAGGAGGGCTTCTTTTATCAGACCCCTCCCCCATCACCATTTCCTAGCCATTTCCCACCCTGTCCCAGGTCTGCTGGCTGGCAGAAATGGGTACTGAGAGTAGTGTAGGAGGGAAAGAGTGTAAGTCCCCCCCTAAGTTTGAGCATTTCTAGAAGCTAGTGGAAGACCCAGAGGCAGACAGTGTTAAATCTTGCGGAAACACTTGTGACTAGACATAAAAAGTAACTACTTTCAATTAGTTAATCTAACTAAAGAATTTGAAGCACTAAAATTCAAAGTACTTTTTCCCTTTTAAAAGGATGTTATTGTTTATAAAGGAGGTAATCAAGAACCATAGTTCCTAGAACTTAAGAATTTAGTCACAGAGCCCTACAAAAGGTCTCATGTCTTTACTAGAAAGATTTGAAGGCTGTCCATTGATTTAAAATAAGATTTTCTCCCTTATCATCTTAAGCCTACCCTTTCTTAAATGGCCACATGCTTGTTAATATTTAGACTGTTTGCCGCACAGTATTTGTGATGTATATGATTTTGCACATGAAAAAGTTATTTTAAACAATACTTAGTGTGTGACATTTATAATTAGAAATTTATTTGTATCATAGAATTGTCTTTGTTGTGATTCATGTTGTTCTTTCATGGTTAACCAAGAGGAAAAAAAAAAGTACTCCCTACCCATGATCTGTAAGTTCTTTGGGTCTTCTTGCTGGTTCTTGTAACTTTGCTAATGCATGATTCTCCTGACAGGTTAACCTGCCCTCTGAACTCTGCGGTGGTTTTGGCATCCTATGCAGTACAATGTAAGTCATGAAGGGAGTGTGGTCCACGATGCTTAGCTGATCCTGACCAGGGTACTGCTACTCCTCTTGTACTATGGCCCCTGTCCCCAGCAGTCCTGTGGGGCAGCAGATCTCTGGCTGTCCAGGCAGTCCTACTTCTACCTTGACTTGCACTCTGCTCCTGCTTGGGGATGTTGGATTATGGAAAGTGGCGCAAGAGAAAGGAGTGGATGAGCCCCGGTGTGGCGTTTCCTCCCCAGGGACCCATAAAGAGCAGAGAGCTATCACACATGGCATTTTCCAGAGCCTTTGCCCGGGTATTTGGATTTGATCACCATATAAATCCCAGCGGAGCAATATTTATACTGGTCACTTCTTAGGAACATGGAAACCTAGACTTAACTAGGTTAAGGAATTTGCTGGAAGTTACCCCTGCTGCTTGCTTATTGCATGACTAAAATAATACTGAGATCTTATGAATTTATATTTAGAGTTTCAATCTAGTGAGTTGTGGCTAAAGCTACAAAACTGCTGTTCAATAGAATTGCAGTGTGAAGGCTGCTCGGCAGTTCAGATTTTCTAATATAAACAGTAAGAAAATTAACTTTTAGTGTTTTATTCCACTCGGCACATCTAAAATATCCTTTATTAAAAATACTAGTAAGATATTTTACATTTGTTTGTTCTATTAAGGCTTTTAAACTTGTTATGCATCTCTTTTTAGGCTAGCCACATATAATTAATACTTTCCATATTGGATAGAAAAGCCAGATAGAATTTTCCATTAAGGCTGGCTTTTGCACCCACTAATTTAATCAGCAAAACTTTTCTGAGCAAGTATTCCATGTGGGTCTTATAGGAAATGCTGGGTATACACAGTAAATAGTGCCCAATCATATGCAAGGTACACTATCTCTCTAGAGTTGGCTGTGCAAAATTAAGAAATACCTTCTGCTTTCCCAAAGCGTGAATCAAGATGCTCTGGCCTCAGAGCACTTACCCACCAAATTAGCCACCCTGTTTCAGCCTCTGAAGAAGCAAAATGTCACCAGAAGGCTATCAGGGACTGCTAAAGTGGCCCCAGTCTGTCTCCTTCCTTAGTAGCATCAGAAATAAGAGAAGTAAAGAACAAAATGGCTGAGCCTGCAGCTTACCTACCTATCTGCAGGGCCCCAGAAGTGTGCAAAAGAGGATTTGGGTGATGATGATGTCATGACTGAGCATACAGTGAGCCTATTCACTGGTAAGTCAGAGCAGGCATCAGTCCCCATCCCACACCTCTCCTGCAGAATGGAACACTCAAGAGGTCCTTGCCCTTCCTATTGTACATCTGGATCTGAAAGATCCCCTCCCCTACTACATCCTGGAACTGACACAGCCACGTTGTATCCACCTGTGAGTGTGTGTGTGTGTGTGTGTGTGTGTGTTTGTTGATTCCTAGATCTCACAGCCCCAGCCTACATTTTGCTGATTAGCTGAGGAGTCCCAGCCTTCCCACATGACGGAGCCAGTTCACAGCTAGAGCTTCAGATATGAGAGGCAGACACACAAGGAAGAAGATGGTCACATTCAACTTAAACCCTGCCTCTGCCACTTTTGTGTGTTAATATTACCTCTCTGAATCTCAGGTCTCACCCGTAAATGGAGGGGATGGGTGATTGTGACATCTTGTATGTGATTGTGACATCTTGTAGCATGGCTATGTGATTCAAATTCAGTGGTACCTGTAATGGTAACAGAGCTAAAATTTCTTCATAATGGAGCCATCACAGACAGAGTCAATGAGAAAATGGGCAGAAGCCATATTACCCAGATCTTGACTCTTCTGCTTAGCACACCATGACCTTGAGCCTCATCAAACCTCAGCTTCTTTCCCTGTTAAGTGGGGATGTAACAGTATCTGTATTTTATAGCACTGTAGTGAAGATAACATGAATGACTGTGCAAAGCTTTTAGAATAATGCCTAGTACATGGCAAGTATTAACTCTTGCTGTATTTTCCTCTAAGAAGAAAACTGCCTTTAAAAATTGCCTATTCTAACCAATAAACTGTTTCAAGTAAAATTTAAGAACCCCATTTGAAACATGCCTTCCTGAGCTTCTTCAAAGTCTCTTCTTCAAGACTGCTAAGACTATGGCTAAAGGAAAGTACAAACTGGCTTCTGAGGGGAAAATTAGCATTACTTTCATGCTAATAGTATTATGCTAATGTCAAGCAACCAATATTTTTGTCCTCTTCTCCTTTTCCTTCTCTTTCGTCTCTAGGCAAACATTCCAAGTAATTTCCAGGCAATTGAGCCATGCCTCCAGCCCTTTTGACTTTGCTGTTTTTGAGATAAGGTCTCACTTTTTGCCCAGGCCCACCTGGACTACAGTGTTTCTTGCCATAGCTGATAGGCAGTCACCGCCATGCCCAGTTTTTTCTGCCAAGACGGAGTCTCAAGAACTTTCTTTTCTTTTCTTCCTTCCTTCTTTTCTTTCCTCCCTCCCTCCCTTCCTTCTTCCCTCCCTCCCTCCCTCCCTCCTTCCTTCCTTCCTTTCATATGTTTTTGCCTAGACTGGCCTAGAACTGTGATCCTTCATATTTCAGCCTTCTGTATAGCTGAGATAGCAGCACACCCAGCTGTTAGTTGAGATGAGATCTTACAGACTTTGTGTCCAATTGATCTTGAACCACAGTCCTTCTAATCTCCACTTTCTGGGTAGTTAGGATTACAGATATGAGCCACCAGTGCCCAGCTAGTATAAGTTCTTTGTAAATATATTTACACACACACACACACACCACATATATATGTATACATATACATATATGTGCACATGCATTTGTATGTGATTAATTTCTTGGTAGAAAACTACTGGATCAAAAGGCAGTATTTTATCCAGCCCATTTTGCTAACTTGTCCCAAGATGGGTATCATTAATATATAAATCCTAGCAGTGATCAGCTAAGCAAAGCACATTTTCTTACTAGATTAAAAAGTACAGTGTTCTGTAGTACAGTATCTAAAAATAGATGATGGTAGAAGATTTTTGGTAGCCTGTCAGGGGTTTATGAGGTGCAAAGAATTAAGTTTTTGAAAGGAAATAGTTATCCGTACTCTCTGAGCTTTTGTCTTGTGCAGGCTGTAAGTCAGCTCAGGATAGAGAACGCCTGCTGTCACCTCCAAGGAGTCTCTATTCAGGCAAGGGAGTTTGGACCATGTGGTGTGGTAAGTAGGTTAGAGGAGAGACCATAATAAGAGTTCAGGCTCCCCGTTACTAGCTGAATTGCAAGTCCACTCTTCAGGTCTTTGATCTCAATTTTCTTATCTGTTTGATAGGGATAAAAACATAGCCCATTACTGTGCTATCTCGGGTACCAAGTAGCATGATGTCATTGAAATCAGTGTGGAAACCACTCAGTGTTTTGCAAACATCTATATAGCTATTTGGCTGTGTTTCTCTAGCGGTTAGCACAGTTTGGTGCATTAAGATCTTTGTGGAAAACCACCCGACTTAGAGGTTTATTAGTTGGATGTTAAGTTCAGAAATCAGTGGGTGACTTTGCTAAAGTAAGAACCATGGGGTTCATGTCTGCAGAGTTGGCACTTGGGTTGGTCCTGTTAGCTGATAGGATGGATGCAAATCAGGATCCAGAAGCTTATCCATGAGCTGATGAACCCAACAGGAAAATTAAATGGGGCAGGGGGAAGGGGGAGGGTCTGTTTTCAGGTTCAAGAAAGCCATTTGTAACATTTGGTTGGACTTTGGGGATATCAACAGAAGACTGACAGTCCTCATCAGGTTGAGTAGTAGGACATTAATCTCGGCCCAGATCACCTGGTCTTGATCCCACTATAAAAACTGCCTTGGGATAGGGGATTGCTCTTCTTTCTGGACCCCCATTTCTTCCCCTTTGACATGAGTTTGAAAGAGGTGATACTTAGGCCTTCTCACAGGGTACTTCGTTTCAGTGCAGATTCATGGTTTTCCACAAACAGTTATACACTTAACCAAACAGAAACTCACCTCCACACTTGGACTTCTATCATACACCTTTGATTCATGTCTACAACATGATCATCTTGACTAGCTTTACCAGTCTGTGGTGTAACCATGACCAGTCTGCATAGATCACTTGGTTTCCTTCCCTTTACACTTCCAGAGGGAAATCTTACATCAGCCTGTGGGCAGGTCAGATCCAAGTGTCAGCTGTGTGCTGTGACAGGTAGTAGGCAGTAAAGGTGAGTCGGATCCGCTTCCACAAACTAAGGGAAAAGGAGATCCCTTTGCAGGTGAGGGCGAGCAGGATGGAGGAGGTGTAAAGACGCAACTTGTGTACCCGACCTTTTACCTGTGTGGTGGGCTTTCTGGCTCACCCCCTTTCCTCCTCAGATTGTCCAGGAAGCCTTGCCTTGGCTTAGTGACACAGAAGGAAATCTGTGTTCAGTTGGAAGATCCTGAGGGTTCTTGGTAGCCTTTGGCAGGAAGAAGTTAAGACCTTTAGAAAGATTAGGTTAAATATATTGAAAAATAGATAGGCCTTTTTGTTTTGTTGAGAAAATAGAATGTGACATCAGCTGCCTGTAGGAGTTCAAGTTCCCCCTCCTGTTTCTATACAAATGTAAGAAGTAGTTTAAAGAAGAGGCAAGATGTCCTTGGTGGCCTGTCACAGTCCTCACTCTGCATGGTAGGTCCCAGAGCAGCCATGTTTTCTAATGCATGTTAGGCATTGCACAGCTCTCAAGAATACTCATGACCTCGACATCAACAGTTCATGTTTATGGACAGCAACTAGTCATAGGTCTCAAGGGAGGGGACCATTTGCATGGTGATAGTATGGAAATCCTTCCCAGAAAACACTCTATCCTCTTCCCTCTACACCGACAGGCCCATCCCATTCACTGACAGTATAACATCTGACTCCTTCCAGAATGTATCTTCCTGGGTGGGTACAATGGCCTGGGCCTGTAATTTCAGTTCTCAGGAAGCTGAGGCAGGTGAATCATGAGTTTCAGGCCAGCTTGGGCTATATAGTGAGACTCTGTCTCAAATTAAAAAAAACAAAACTAAAAATAAGATGAAACAAAACAAAGTATCCTCCCTCAGAACTCTGGCCTTGCCTGAACCTTCTCTAGCCCCATCCTGCTACCCCCCCCCCCTGCATTCCCTACCTCTGAGCACATCCTGGTCCCATTGAATACCTTTCTGAATCCCAGGGGATAAGGCAGGTCAGTATGGCCTCCCTTCTGTCCATGCCATATATATTTTAACAGCTGGTTAGTCTAACATCACAATGACCTTGTTATATAACAATCTCCCTGGCATAAATATGGCATTTTTTTCTTAGCAGGGTCTCTTTCTCCTTGCCCAAGGCCTGAGTGCAAACTTCAGTACTGCTTCTGAGTGAGAGACCCGGGATCAGAACAAGACCTGGGTTTCAACACTGTCCTCCAGGAGTCTGAGGATTGGGCTGGGTGGTATGTACTAGAACCAGCCCCCTGGAAGGGCTCAAATTAGAATCTGGAGACAATGGGAAACTAGTTCAAAACTTCTTAAAGAGTTTCCAGTTACTGTTTCCCTTGTGATGCTGTAACTGTTCCTACAGTCTATCGAAAAGGCAAACCCAATTATGATTTCCCCTTTGTTCTGTCTTTACAGCGCACTTTGGAGACTTTAATCCTTCCATACATCATCCAGGCTATCTTGTGGACAGCCAGTTTATACCAGATCAAAACGATGACTTCTTAGCCAAGGTGGAGTCGCTCCATGAGCAGCACAGGTGAGAGGACCCAGGCAGCCTACTTTGAGAACTCAAGTCAGGTATTTTCGAACACTGCCTCTTTCCTTCCTTTGGATACCATCCTCTTTCAAGTTGTGGGGTTTCTTTTGAGCCTTTGAGCGGTGATGGTGGCAGATATATTTGGCACCCGTGGTATTTCTGTGAATTGTAAAACCCAGTAGGTGTTGAGGATGATGGCTGCTATATTCCTTTTCTAGATGTTATTGCAAAATATCAATTCTTGAAGGAAACACTCCTTTGGAGATCTGATTGCCCCACAGATTGCCCACCCCCAGGTGGTTTACCCATACATAATAAAATAATAGTGTCAAGTAGACAGACAAGTGGACCAAAGTCCATACAGACAAGCAGGATGTGCATGGGTTCAATTCTTGCAAACATTGTTTTTCCATGTGAGGAGCCCTTCCCTGGAGCAGCTGCCCAGGGCTAGCCACCTCCAACAAACAGCCTCTTCTGTGACTCGGGCTACTGTGGCAGCTGTTCAGTTCCTGTCAGACAAGGGCCAGGCTGACCCAGGAGGCCAGCTCTCAGGACCTCTTGCTTCTTGGGAAAGGCCATAAAAACAAAGGGCAAGCAACCAGTGTACCTTCTGAGAAGGCACTGCCAACCCTCTCTCCCAGAATTACTCCTGTGGTACAAGTCACCCTCCTAAAATAGCACAGGGCCAGTGGCGTTTGAAGTGTGAGGCCACAGCTAAGAGACTAGACAAAGGCAGAAAGACCCGAAGATTACCTGTTAATTAGGCAATGCGGGGGAATCCATTAGATCAGGAATTTTGAAAGGTGATCCTGTTCCCCATCTGAAGGTTGAGTTGGTCCTAAGCGGAGAGTGTTTCTCAATAAAAACGAACAGGACCAGAGGAAGTGAAGCTCAGTGGACAAAGAGAAAAATCTATTCAGCAGAATAGGATTAGATTACTTAAGACTAGTAATGTGAAGCGTTTACTAACATTTAGGAATATTAGGATTTTCTTAAAAGTTGGAGCTAATAGTCTCTATTTTGGGGTGAACCCCATGTTTTCTCTCTTTTGCAGTGGGCTAAAGCAGTCAGAGGCCGAATCTTGCTACATCAACATAGCCCGGACCCTGGACTTCTACGGAGTAGAGCTGCACGGGGGGAGAGTACGTAACCATAGAGTGATTTTATACTGTGAAAGCTTAGAAACGTCCTTGATGAGACTCCGTCTTTCCCTTTATAACAAACATAACCCATTTTTATTTTTTAATAGCTATTCAGAAGGTTTATTAAGTAGTGTTGAGATTTCCTAATCATTGATCCAGCTATTTTTTTTTTCATGCTTCCCATTGAACTGGAATTTTTCCTTTTGAAAAGTCAGAAGACTGTGATTTTTTTAAAGACTATTCCATATTATGGTTAAATAAGTAAATGGTGTGTATAAATCTATTTTCCAAATGATACTTTAATAAAACCAAGGTTCCTATAACTTCAGCACTATTCAAATTAGACCTACAACTCAAATGTGCTCATTTTGCTGAAAAAAAAGTAGTGACAATTGTGAAAATCAGTTATTTTATTTTTCATTTCATTTTTGCTTCTTTTGTGCTGGTACTAGGGCTTGAACTCAAGGCCTTATGCTCTCAACTCTCACAACTTCAACCCGGCTTTTTAGTTGGTTAATTAGAGCGTCTCTCCAAATTTTCTGCCTGGTCTGGCTCTAACTGCAGTCCTCATATCTCAACCTCCCATATAGCCAGGATTACAGGTGTGAGCCAATGATGCTTGTCACAATAAATATTTAAAGTGGATTGTAATACTTTAATAGAATTGTTTAATATTTGCCATCTGCTGAGCAGATTTCTGTCAGTGGAGAGTTGAATTTCTTTCTTCCCATCATGCCATGGACTAATTATTACCATTATTCCCATTTGACAGGATGGAGAAACTGACATTCAGGTCCACTGCTCCATAGTGGGAGCTTCAGCTTTGTTTAACCATGCCTCATCTTTTAGCAGTGACTTACATTTCCCCCCATATCATACACAAAAAGGAGCATGAATTATATTCTAGATGCTTTTGTAAGCCTTGTTTTAGGATCATAAAAGTCTTGTCAAGTTCTTAGTCTAATTTTACCCATTTGCCAAATGAGAAACTAACGCTTGTGGAAGTGGAGTAACTAGCCAGATTTTAAATTTGCATACTGTGGTCACAGTTTATAGAAACCTTCTCCTTTGTCCCATTCCGTCCTGTGACAATCCTGAGAGGTAGACAAAGCATGATGTTGGTAATCATAAAGCAAGAAAAAGGTATTGGCTTTATAAAATAACAACTTGAATGTTTAACTGCTTGTTTGGGGGAAGCTTAACCAGTAGTGGAATTTTTATATCTGCCTGCATTGACCTTTGGCTTCTCCAACCGCCAGACTGGAACTGTCAGTGAAGTGACCCTCCATGGGGGCACAGTGACTTGTGCCTGTATTTCCAGCTCTTGGAAACCTGGGGCAAGGGGATCATGAGTTTGAGGCCAACCTTAGCTACATAGCAGGAAAAAGAAAGAAAAATAAAGGAGAAGAGGAAGTGGGAAGGAGGGAGTAAGGGTCAGTCTGATCCTCTAGGGTTCAGAAGATGAGATGTTTGGCTGAGACCTGTCAAGGTACACTGGGTGTTGTGCTTTGCGAACTAAAACCCCCAAATCTCAATAGGTTCATCCCACACTGTTTACTTTTTTTTTTTTACTCAATTTGTGTGTGTGTGTGTGTGTGTGTGTGCGCACGCGCGCGCGTGTGTATGTGTATGTGTGTGCGCGCACATGCATATGCCAGTACTGAGGCTTGAACTCAGAGCCTTGCACTCACTTGGCTTTTTTGCTTGAGTATGATTCAAATATGACTTGAGCTGTACTTCCACTTCCAACATTTTGCTTGTTAATGGGAGATAAGTATCTTACAGACTTTTCTGCCCCAGATAGCTTCAAACTGCAATCCTAACATTTCAGGAAGCTGAAATGTTAGGATTACAGGGGTAAGCAACAGAGTCCAGCTATCACTTACTTTTTAGTAGTTTGGAATCTTCATTGGTCCAGGTGTCCGTCTCTGGTGCAGCCTCTGCTCAGCAGTAACTGGGTGCTGGTATTCAAGGCTGCTTTTCTGCCATCTTGGCTATCTTCTCAGGGCAGAAGCCATGCCCCTCAGTGCCTCAGCTTAGAAAGATACACATAGCACAGAGTTCATAACTCAGAGCACACTGGCTAGAACCGGTCACTGGGTCCTGCCTCCTGCAAGAGGAGCTGGGAGTTCAGGTGGTGTGGGAATTTAACTAATAGTAACTGCCAATGATGGCAGGAGTGAAGGAGCAAACTGAAAAACCATGGAAACTAGAGATTTAGATTACCAAGCCATCTATTTCCTTACCACTTAACTTTTATTTCATTTGTTGATTTGTTCTCCCTATATTGTGATTGCTGGTGTTAAATTTAAGGCAACTCTGTTCTTTACTAGCTGGGCTCAATTTTGCTTAGGCATGTGATTACAGTAGGATTCCTGTCATATTTTAGACTCACCATCATGTCAGTACTGTTTCCCTGACCAGCTTCTCTAATTCCTCTTAGAGTAGAATTGATGCGCTCCAGGCCAAGAGGGAATGAACATTTATTCTATTTACAACATGTTCCACCCTGCTCTAAAGCCCCTTATGCCCAGCCTGGTTCCAAGTTCTTTCCAGCATTCTCCGATTTCTGCCTGACAAAAACCTTTAAGGTGGTTCCAAAACCATTATTATGTGAAACAAAAGAACAGGCTCCTTTGAGCTCAAGCAACATAGCTGACCAAAAGTTTGCACCCGTTCTAAGTAACCGCTCAAGCTTTGCTGTCTTTTTTTTTTTTTTTTGGGTCGGTCGTGGGGCTTGAACTCTGGGCTTGGGCGCTGTCCCTCAGCTCCTCAGCTCAAGGCGAGTGCTCTACCACTTGAGCTACAGCGCCACTTCTGGTTTTCTGGTGGTTTATTGGAGATAGGAGTCTCACGGTCTCTCTTGCCCGGGCTGGCTTTGAACCGCGATCCTCAGATCTCAGCCTCCTGAGTAGCTAGGATTACAGGCGTGAGCCACCAGCGCCCTGCTGAGCTCTGCTGTCTTTACAATCACAGTGTCTGACTGCAAACAGAAACCTGTGTGGCTCACAAGAAGGAAGTATTGTAGTTTTCAGTGTTATTTGGTTACATTCAAGTGGATTTAAAACAGCCCATGTCTCTGTGTATGCTCCTGTGTCTTCGTTTTCTACAGCAGGGCCTAGCACATGAGCCTTTAGTGAATGCTGGTTATGTTGGATTTATGAGCAACATTTGTTTCTTAATTGGATTTTCGAATGAATCCTCTACTTGTCATTTTTCATCATCCTATTATACTAGCTAAAACCTTTCCAGTGATGGAAGTTGAGATTTGTACAAAGCTATTCAAAGGAGAGAGGCCTTTCTGGTTTTACTGTGGCTATAAAATGCTAATTGTTGAAAATGTAAAACTGAAATGTTGATTTGCGTGATACTGTGGGATGAGTGGTCTTAACTCCCTAAGCCATGTGCTAGGGCAGGCCATGCACATTCTCTTCCAAAAGATTTGGCCCTGGGTACTTGGATCTTAAGTAGCTGCTAAGTAGGGATTTTTGCCTGCGTTCAGAAACATTTTCCCCTTTGGAGCTTATACATACTGCTATTTATAAAAGCGTGGGTGCTTTAGAGTTGCTGGCGGGCATGAGCCTAACTGTAACACGCCATGAATCTGCCCTCTTCCTTCTCACAGGATCTGCACAACTTAGATCTAATGATTGGAATTGCTTCCTCGGGCATTGCTGTGTACCGAAAATACATTTGCACAAGTTTCTATCCTTGGTAAGTGCAAACAGTCCTAATCATTGTCTGATTCATGCTTTAAAAATATGCTGAACAAAAGTAATGTGCCTCTAATTTTAAACTTTATTTACAAAGGAAGGGTAGACAATCCCCCACCCTGCTCCCGCCTCAAACATAGTTTTAACCTCTGACTTCTGAATTTGATCCAGATTTGATATTTGGGGAAATTAGTTTGGTTCTCATTAGCGTTTACATACACGTGCACGTGTGCATCCCTTCCTCCGCCCACCATGCCGTTCATCCTATAGTTTGGGATGGATGGAAACATGGTAGATAAATGATATAGGCCAGGTCTCTCTGGTCCCCTGTACCCCAAACCCCAGTGGCCCTGAGACTACAGCAGGTCCCCTACCCTATACATGTTCCTATACATACACACCTATGACACAATCCAGTTTCTCTGTTAGGCCCAGTAAGAGAGCAATAGCAGTAACAAAGGACAAAATAGAACAGTCCCCACAAATGTACTATAAGGAAGTGAAGTGAATGTGACTCTCTTAAAAGAGTTAGGACAACATCTGTGGTTGCTGCTAGTACCTGAAACTAAGGAAAGCAAAACTGTAGGTGAGGAGACTGCCTTTTTGTAGACAAATTTTAGTTTGATATACCAGGCAAAGGGGAATTTTTTGTTTGTTTCCTTTTTGGTGGTGGTGGTGGTGGGTGGTGGTGGTACTGTGGTTTAAACCAGAGCCTTGCACTCTCACAACTTCCTTTTTGCTTGACTTGTTAATTAATTGGAGATGAAGTCTCCTGGACTTTTCTGCTTGGGCTGGTCTTGAACCACAATCCTCCATATCTCAGCCTCCTGAGTAGACAGGATTACAAGAGTGAGCCACTGGCTCCCAAAGGGGAGCTTTTTTCAAATAAATACCACTCAAGTCCTATTTTTAAAAGTGACCATGTGAAGGCCCACAGGATGGGGATGGGCAGGTTGAGGAGGATGAGGTTTGCCAGATACAGGAGATGCAGAAGTAGAAGAATGAGCCTGTAAAGAAAAGGAGTTAGGGGAAGTGATTCGAGAAGATTTAAGGGGCACATTACCACAGTAAATTGGATCCTTGGGTCTAAATCTGTTTTTTAATTTGGCAGCATAGAATTTTATGAATTGGCACAGAAAGATGTTTGTCTCGGCATGGAATATGAGAGGAGAAAAGCCCTGTAAACAAATAAAATCACAGAGGTGATTATTATAATAGCAGATGTCCTTAGCAAGCGCTTCTGGCACTCCAGTCAGTTACTGCATATTTCATTTATCTCATTTCAACCTGAAACAGGCGCCACTGTTGTCCTGTTTCTCATGGGAGGACACCAAGGAATGGGGAAGTTCTATAAGAGCTTGAGGGGGAGGGCGAGCAAACCACTAATAATTGGTATACTTGAAGTTCACACTCAGATTGTTGATCTCCAAACCTATACTTTTGTTCCACACCATGTACACACATACATACATACTCACACAAATGATGTTTGTGGCAAAATGCTTAAATAGGATGACAGAGTCGAGAACCCTGACTTTTCTGTTAATTACTCAATAGATCTACTTTTTTTCTAAATGCTAAGATGTTGCAGCCCTGTTCAGTTTCACAAGGCAGTCAATATGGTAGGTAACAGGATCCTCTCTGCCTCTTTCTTCATCCCTGCCTCATTAAAAGTCCCTCTTGGGAAGGAAGCAGGACACCCAGCCCTGATGTAACTTGCTGGGATGTGACCTGGGCAGCTCTTTGACCTGTTTAGGACCAGGAGCAGAGCTCTTGCTGAGCTCCTCCAGCTATAGGGGCTTCAGGTAGGAGACTTCCTCCCAGATGCCACAGTCCAGAACCACTTGCATCCAGCTCTGTCTGACCTTGTAAAGTTCCACAAAGATTCCTCAAGAGCAAAGCAGAACACTTTGTCCTAGAAGCAAGGTTGTAAGCAAAAACCTTCCTGGCAGCACCTGCAGGGACCCTCACAGCTTTCCTGTCCTCCAGACTCACCTGCAGACCTTCCTATCTCTCTTGCATCCTCTCTTGCTAAGCTCCTGTGGAGGCCTGGCCCTGCCTTCCCAAAGACCAGCAGGAGGCCAGCCCCACATGGTAATTCCAGACTACTAAGTCAGGTGCATGTAGGAAGGACCCTGGGGCTATGAGGTGGACACTAAGTGGGCAGAGTTTTGGCCCTGGGTAAATACAGCTCCGGAGACCAGCAGAAATAGTGGGGAGTAAGGGCAGAAAGGTAGGTCAGGCTGGAGCATGCTGTGGGCATGGGGAGAGGAGGAAGGCTTGGTTCTTAGTACCATGAGGATATCCGGGGCTCTCTCTCCTATAGTGGTCACACAGTGGTTTGGCTATGCGTGTCATTGTTTATTTTGTGCCCATCTCCCTCATCAAAGTAAGACTGCACTCTCCAAATGCTTAGTGCATTTGGACACGCAGTATGTTGTTTCTTTCCTTATGAACAAATGAAGGGGAAGTAGGCACCCCTTGTAGTCCCTTCAGCCTGGAGGTAACATAGATCATATCTGCCATTTATCAGATTTGTTCAGGGGAGAGTGCTGTTAATTATAGAAACTGAGGCCAGCACAGGAAGGAGGAAGTGTGAGAGCACTGCGCTGGACCCCCCTGGACTCCTGACCTGAAGGCAATGGGGAGCCCCAGGTCCATGGTTTCCCATGAGCTGAGCAGGCCAGAGTAAGGACTCAGAAGCTAATACGTTGATTGTCTAGACTTCCGAGAAACAGGACTTCCCGTGTCTACCCTTTAGCACAGGGAGCAACAAGGAGAAACCTGCCTTGGAGAGGTAGCGGGGCAGGCCGCCACTCACATTAGGGCCGGTGTCTCCAAAGGAGTGAAGCTAAACACCCTCAGGTGCTTAGATGATGAGCTTGCATTCACCCAGACATTCACTTGCCAACAGATTAAGTGTGCAGTATTGAATATGTATTGTTGGTGTACCCTACATGTTGCTGATCTACCTTGGAAATGGATAAATTTTACTTACCCAGCCTCTGTCCTAGAATGTTCTACCAAAGTCTTCATACAACCCTAGAGAATAGTAGAATAGTACAGAAGTAAGGACTTGGGGTGGGGGGGAGGGAGCTTCCCTCCTGAGGATGACAGTAGCTTGTCATCATTAAATGATGTTGATTATTAAAATGAGTCATAAACCAGTTTTAATGAGAGGAGCAAGCATGAAGGGCCTACTGTGTGTCAGTCATCATGCTATGAGCAGCTTTGTGAGCAAGGTGGTGTTGCAGGACCACAGAGTTCATAGAGCACGGTCTTTGGTGTCAGGTGGAGTCCTGGGCTTAGTCTTGGCTTCTAGCAGTGATGGCTCTGAGCCTCATTTGCCTTATCTGAAAATAGGATCCACGGTAACAATATGGACTTTTCAGGATGGTTGCAACATCTAATTGGGAGGATGTGTACAGAGCCTTTTGTAGTGACCAGTACATAAAAATATACACCAAGGGCTGGGGATGTGTACAACATGGGTAAAGTACTTGCCTACCATGTTCTAGGCTGAACTCAATCCCCTGTACTACACACACACACAGAGTTCCCTCACACACGTTCCATTTATGTATATACACACATATACACACTTGGTTATCATCAGTGGCTTTACCTCTGTATCGAGTGCCTGTATGTAAGGTTAAAGAGACCCTTGGAGGGAAGTCATAGTAGTACATGCCTGCAGTCACACCCACTCAAGAATCAGAGATAGGAAGATTATGGTTGGAGTCCATCTAAGACAAAAGTTAACAAGACTTTCTCAAAAACAAGCTGGGTGTGGTGTTCACTCTCATAATCCTAGACATGTAAGAGGAAGAGGTAGGGAGATTTTGGTCCAAGGCTAGCCTACGCTAAGTGTAAGACCCTACCTGTAAACAAACTTCAAAGCAAAATGATGTGGTTCCAGTGGTAGAGTGTTGCCTAGTAAGCGCATGACCCTAAGTTTAACCTTCAGTCCTGGGGGTGGGGGGAAAATACAAGAGACTCCTGGACACGTGGCTGCTAGGTAATGGAGCTGGGGTGTGTCCCAAGCCTGTGCTCCTCCCTCACACTGCCCTCAGCTGTCCTCCCCACCAGCACCACAGGGCTGCAGTGTCACAAAAGAAGCTCACAGCAGAGCTAGCTTCTTGTTATTTAAAAGCTACATCACAATCCGGAGGCCCTGTGTGAGATGAGACTGGGCTCAGTCAGCTCTTTGCTGTTTGGTTTGGGCAATGGGGATGCTGTGGTTTCCATGGTGAATGGCACTCTGGGCCACTGGGACCTGCCCGTCACTGGGATCATGAACTAGAGGACATACCTTGAAAAGATCAACCACCACCTGGATGAGCACCGATGTTTGTATTTTATTTCAGTTTAGTCTTTTTTCTTTTTTGTGTGTTTATGTTTTGTTTTGTTTTCTACAGGGTGAACATTCTCAAAATTTCTTTCAAAAGGAAAAAGTTCTTTATACATCAGCGACAGAAACAGGTGAGTTATGTTCATGCTTGCTTTGTTTCAATGTGAGAGAGTGTGTGTGTGTGTGTGTGTGCGTGTGTGTGCGCGCATGCCGATTACTGAGGCTGGAACTCTGGGCCTGGGCTTTGTCCCTTACCTTTTTACTCAAGGACATATTCTCTGCCACTTGAGCCAAAGCTTCAGTTTCAGCTTTTTGGTGACTAACTGGAGAAAAGAGTCTCACGAACTTTTCTGCCTGTGCTGGTTTTGAACCATTCCAGGGCTCAGCTATTTCAGTGTTTTGAAGTTACTTCTGCTCTTAGCTCTTTGGGCTTTGGCAAATTGCACCTAAATAATAAGAAGGAAGAGTCCTGGGGCCCAGGAGGCCTTCCATAAGCCATCTCCTTCACCAGTTGAGGATTGAGCTTCCTTTGGAATCGGATAGTTGGTGCAGATCCTGGCTCTTCCCTTGACCAGCTAGCTGCACAGGCTATGTAATCTCCTCAAGCTGAGTTACCTTGTTTCCATTAACTCAGTGATGCCTGCTACTCAGGGAAAGAGGAAGATTAAACCAAGAATTCCCAGCAAAGCCCACTACATAGTAGCAAGAAATGTCAATAGCTGGACATAGCCTGTGCTGTCTGACAAGATGAGTCACTGGTGATCTAGGTAACTTGAGTTTGTTTAGCCACAGGGAGAAGCAGATTCAGAGGTGAGGAAGCTCAGGCTCCCACAGCTAGTGAGAGAGGAAGATTGAATTTGGACAGATTATTAGGAATCTGAGATGCCTGCTCTTTACACATCACACCCTGTCTTGTTATGCTGTGTATTTGTCACTTACTCTATGTCCGCATCTCAGGTTTTCAGAGATAATATGTCTTTAAATTGATACCACCCCATGGTCCTGAACCCATAGAAATGGGAGCAGTAAAGCTCAGAGCAAGCACAGACTGGAATCTGGGTCACCTGACTCTGCTAGTGCCTGCAAGGCTCAACACAGCACAAAAATGCACGAGAAATCAGAAAACTTTATGAAAAATGACAGCAGAGTCGATCATTTAAATGCATACCAGGTCTCACTGTGGAGGCAGCAAATGAAGAAATCCCCAGGGTTATAGAATTGCTGTTGTCTGGTAGTTGAAAGGATATTTCTTGAGGAGAGAGATGCTTCCAGACCTAAATTTTAAAAGGAGCATATTAGACATTTGTCCCAGATACATCCAACCTTGAGACGTGAGCAGGTTTGAAACATGGCGGGGTTCGTGAGGAGGAGGTCTTAACTTTGAGCTCACGGAGGGCTGCTCTGTGATATTTCCAGGATGCTGGGTTGTGGTGAAGACATATGGAAGCTTGCTTCCTGGTAGCTGGGGTGGCTGATGTGAGATCTTTTACCTGTGTCTTTATAGTGACCTTTTGTGGTTTCCCCTGCAGGCTGAATCCAGGGAACATATTGTGGCCTTCAACATGCTCAGTTATAGATCTTGTAAAAACTTGTGGAAATCCTGTGTGGAGCACCATTCATTTTTCCAAGCAAAGAAGTTACTACCTCAAGAAAAGAATGTTCTATCTCAGTACTGGACTCTGGGCTCCAGAAATCCCCAAAAGTGAGTTAGCTTTAAGAACAGTGTGCACTCTAGACCAAGATGCCAGCATGTCCTGGCTACCACTAGGTAGTGGACACTTTTGGGCATGGCTCAAGTGGCAGAGCCCTTAGTTCAAAACTCTAGTTCTACTAAAATGAAAGAAAAAAAGAAAAAGAAAGAAAGAAAAGGGAAGGAAGGAAGAAGAAGGAAAGAAAAGAAAAAGAAAGAAAGGAAAGAAAAGAAAGAAAGAAAGGGACAAAGAGGGAGGGAGGAGGGAAGGAAGGAAGTTCAAATTGAAGAAATTGAAAATCAGTTCTCATAGCCAAGTATAAATGTAATTGAGAGGGAAAGCATGAAGTAAAACTGCTAGTCATACTCCCCCTGTTCCTCATTATGGTGAGCTTCCTTGCTTAAGGAGGCAGTGGATGGGGTTGTCATGTTGCTATTGTTTCTCAGTTACTCAGAAGCCATTTTCTTCCAAATAAGAATTTATGGGAATGTAGTCTTGCCTTTCACTGGAGCTAATCCTCTAGGCCTGGTGGGAGATAGTGTCATGAGGGTTTGAACCCAGCTTTAGGCTGCTAAAGAGTGGAGTTCAGATCCTCCCTCAAGTATTAGTTTGCTGCCTCAGTTTCTCCATCTGCAAACTTTCTCCCCTGTAGCCAGTGGAAGAGCCAGATTCTGCTAATCACTAATAGCATAATAAACAACCTCTATTTTAGTGGCTTAAAGCAATATCATTGTTTTACCTTAAAGATGTTGTGGGTTAGGAATTCAGGAAGGCCATGGCTGGATGACTCTTCTGCTCTGTTTGAACGAGAGGGAAAATCTGTGATACCTAGCTGGGAGCAGATCTGAGACTGCTTTTCCCACATGACTGATGGGGTCTCCTGGGTCTTCTTGACCCATCCACATGGTCTCTACTGCAGGGTGGTTGAATTTTTTTTCTACAGAGGCTTCATGAGCCAAAGACAGAACCAGCCACTCCCCCGCTACGGGAAGGGCTGGGAACTGGTACAGCCCATCTCTTGATTAAAACAGTCACAGACAGCCTGGAGTCAAGAGTCAAAGAACTAGCAGGTGTCTGTAATCCTCCATAGGGGCTTGCCTGGGGCACAGCGAGCAGGATGGGGAGCACACATGAGCAGTTACCGGCTTCAGTACACTTTGAAGTTCTGCTCTTGTTGCCTCCATTTATTTCACAAGCCTCCATTTATTTCACAAATGAGGAACCTGGGGCTTAGAGAAGTTACAGGATTTCCCCACCCCTAGAGATGCAGAGGGTCCTTTGAAAGGTTCCATGTGAAAGGAACCAGCCCAAGTGGATCCCAAGCATACAGGGCAATGGCACCCTGACACACACAAGCTCTGGGGATCTTGTATAGTAAGCCTTGAGTCTTGCAGCTTGCGCCCTTTATTTTAATCTTAAATGGTAGCTGTTTCTGATGTGACTGCGCCTCTGAGGAAAGACTCTCTCACCAACACCACTGTGGGCAGTTGATCAGGTTGGTAATGGGTGGTTTGTGTAATTAGCATGTGACATTTTAGGGAGGTTTTATTTGTCTTTGTTTTGTTTTCGTTGGTTGGTTGCTTGGTTGTCCACTTTTAGGCCACCAAGAAATGTGTAGAATGTTTTCATAAGGTATTAGAACATGGTTTAAATTTGAAATGCCAGAGCGAACCACTAACACCCTTCAGATTATTTCCCTAGTAGTATGGAGAATTCATTAGAAACACTGTAGATATGACTTAAAATTCAGAGGTAAACCTTCAGGGAGCACATTCAAAGAAGGTGATCTGAAACTATACTTTCTAAGTATATTCCCAGGTTCTCTGCCCAAGAGTTAGCAGTGATTTATGGTGGTGGCTTTCACCGGCCCTGGTGACAGAGTGCATCTGGAAGGGTGGTTAATACTTTCACTCTTACCGCCCTGAGTAAAGTGACACTCCCCTGAGGTTATTTGAACTGTATTTCTGTGCTCTCCTAATGATCTGGTAAGCTTTGGTTATCGTGAAGCAGCTGGCTGGCTCAAAGTAGCTGAAACACAAAAGCATTTTTATCAAAAGAAGAAAAGAAATACAAGGAAAAGCCAAAATGAGAGGACATCTCTCCTGTGACCCTCCGCCTCCACTCCTGTAACTTGGCTTGGTTGTCATCAGGAGGGCTGATATTTTTTTTTTCTTTCCTATTGGACATGTGGAAAATGACATTGTATCTGATTTTTCAGGTCTGTAAATAACCAATATTGTAAAAAGGTGATTGGAGGGATGGTGTGGAATCCAGCCATGAGAAGATCCTTATCAGTGGAGCATCTGGAAACCAAGAGCCTGCCTTCCCGGTCCCCTCCAGTCACCCCCAACTGGTATGTCCTATTTGGTCCCATGTACCAGCAAACATGTTTGCTCTTATACAGATGCATGCCAGGCACTGTAACTCACTCCTGTAATCTTAGCTGATCTAGAAGCACAGGGATCAGGAGATTGAGATCAGCCCAGGCAAAAGTCCACAGAACTCCATCTCAATAACAGCTGGGAATAGTGGAACACATCTATCATCCCAGCAATATGAGACACATAAATAGAAGGATTGCAGTCTAGGCTGGTCCAGGCAAATAAAATGAGGCTTACTTTGAAAAATAACGAAAGCAAAAAGGGCAAGGGGTGTGATTCAAGCAGTAACGCACCTACCTAGAAAATGTAAGGCCTTTAGTTCAAACTCCAGTACCTCTAAAAATATGTACATATATATGCGTGTGCGCGTATACACACACACTGTAATTTTGTCAGCACAGACGGCCTACTGTCAGATCTTACATGTGCATTCCTAGCTATTGCAGACGTAGTTGAAGCACACATCTCTCTGAACATTTTCTGTACTGTGTGATGCTGAGTGGTCTTTTAAAATAACTATAAATTTTTCATGGACATCATGATTGCACGTATTTATAGCTTAGTGTGATACTCATGTACATGTATGTGATGTTAACTTACCAGATCAGGCTAATTGTCATATCCATCATCTTAGACAGACATCATACCTTTGTGTTGGGAACACTCAAAGTCCTTTCTACTCACCATATGAGGTGGTTCACACTAGTAATTCCAGCACTCAGGAGGCGTCTAAGACAGAAGGCTCGAGTGTTTGAGCCTAAACCTTTCTACTAGCTGTTTTGAAATATGCAATTACCTGTTGTCAGCCATAGTTACCTTACTGTGTTAGAATAGTAGATGTTATTTCTCCCATTCTGAGATGCTTTTTTGGGGGGAGGGGTAATTACTAGGCCTTTGAACTCAGAGCCTCATGTTTGCTAGTCTGGCCCAATACCACCCAGCCATGCCTCCACTCCTGTTTATTATTGGTTAGGGTGAAGGTCTTACCCCCTTCCCCAGTTATTTTCTCAATTCCCTTTCTGCCCAAGCTGGCCTTGAACCTCAGTTTTCTCATTCTTAGCCCCCCATAGTTAAGATTGCAGAAGTGAACCCACTTGTACATTGTATGATGCTCTTTTTAAAAAATGTATTTGAGCTTAAGAAATTTGAACAACTCTATGTTAGAGCCCTCACGCAGCATGTGTAAAGCCCTTGTTTTCCATCCTCAGTACCACAATGTAAATAAACAATAAAACTGGGCAGTGGCGATCCTCTGAGATGTCCTTGTTAGAATCATGGCAGACATTAGTAATATTAAACACGCTGAGAAGTCCTGCGGTAAACAACATGGAACTTTATTTAATCTAATTTTTCATTAACATCCCACAAAATCAACTTTATTGGGAAACCCAGTAAAGGATGTAAGGATTAAAGACCCTCTGCACCAGTAGTAAAGATGGAAGTAGTCTGCCAGTTTTTCAAGAGGATGAAATCAGTCAAGCATAGTAGCAGACACCTATAATCCTAGCTGTTTAGGATGAATAACTAGAAAGATCACAATCTGAGGCTGGCCCTAGGCAAAAACTCAAGCCCCTACCTGAAAAATAACAAGCAAAAAATAGCTAGATGTGTGGTTGAGGTAGCAGAGTGCTTCTCTAGTAAGCACGAGACCCTGCATTCAAACCCCACCAAAAGGAAAACTAAAAAGATGAACTCAACTTAAAAAGAGTGAGGGATATGTGTGGCTGGGGGGTAGCACATGGCAGAATACTTGCCTAGCGTGATCAAGGCCGAGGCCTTGGCTCAGTCCCTTATGAAAATGATGGCGAATGAAGTCATAATGTACAAATGCTTTGTAAGCCTACGTAACAAAAGAGTGGGATTTTAAAAACTGTTATCCTATCCTAATGTCCTTCAAAGATGCTACTTTATTTGTGTGAATGCCTCTGAAATGATTAGGCATCAGCAAAAGGAAAACGCAATCATCTCTGTCCCCAGCTCCACGTGGGATTAACATTGTGTCTTTAAAGACTGGCAGGGCTGGAAGTTCCTGAGCCAGAATCTCCTGGGACTGAGGGAAACTCTTGAGAGAGGCAGGGCCTACTGGGTTCAAGGCCCTCCACTGGGAAACACCTGTTCTGGGAAGGGTTGTGATGGGATTCCATCTTAGAAATGGTGACATGATAAGTAGATTCGCTTTTTGGGTTTCCAAGACTGAGACACCTCAGTCTTAGAGGTGTCTTAAAGAGGTGAATGTGTGCTGTAAGGGAACCACTTAATGTGGTTCAGAATCTCTTCAGGCAACAATGCAAGGAACCCAGAGAAAGCACCAGACAGGATCCGGGAGAACAGCAGGGCTGGTTGTTGCCACAGCTGTGGCGTGGTGCCACAGCCCTTGCTGCTAGATATAGGTCTTCTCCAGGGAGTCAGAAGAGCCTTTTTACTTTTGTGGTGGACACAGCATTGATGACTACCCAGGTCCAGGGGCTGGCAAATAATGAGGGCAGGCCCTAAGGAGTCATAGCTAACAGAATAATAGAAGAAGGGCAACTGGGAGGGACAGAAGAGGACCTGGCTGCACCTGCTACAGGAGCTGATGCCCAAGTGTGGCCCTGATTTTCCAAGAACTTTCTCTAATTTGGCTCAGCCTCTGGAGCAAGCAATGTGGTTGCCCAGAGAGGTAATGGACATGCCTATGGTACCTTGACTCTGCCACTTGTAAAGAACAGGTCAGAGCTCAGATTCCCATCGCATTACATGCACTTAATAAATGATAGAGTTGTTGGTTGGTTGATTGGTTGGTTGGTCATGGCTTGAACTCAGGGCCTACGTGCTGTCCCCGAGCCTCTCTGTACTCAAGGCTAGCACTCTATCATTTAAGCCACAGCACCATTTCTGACTGTTTTCCGTGTATGTGGTACTGAGGAATCAAACCTGGGGCTTCATGCATTCTAGGTGAGCATTCTACCACTAGGCCACATTCCCAGCCCCCATAGAGGATAGAGTTTTAAAAGCAAGTATTTCCTCTTGAGTCAAGAGAAATTTACCTTAGAGGATGTAGACAAGCTGAGGTTTGAGTGTTGCCAAGAATTATACCTAGCTTCTAAACCTTGCATAAACATTATTAGAATTTCCTTATGAACATTCAGCATGGCCTCTTTACAGCTTGAGGACTGAGATCTTCTAGAACTCATCCTAGCTGAGTGCTGGTGGCTCATGTTTGTAATCCTAGCTATTCAGGAGGCTGACAATTATGGTTCAAAGCCAGCCCAGGCAGGAAAGTCTGTGAGGCTCTCATCTCCAATTAATCACCATATATATAGAAGAGGAGCTGTGCCTCAAAGTGGTAGAGCTTTAGCCTTGAGCAAAAGAGCTCAGGGACAGTGCCTGAGCCCTGAGTTCAAGCCCTATGACCGACAGAACAAAACAAAACAAAAATAAACCCTTCAGTACCATTGATTAGAGTGAATAAGCCCTGTCTCATCCTGCCTATGTATAAGGAAGGCTGAGACTACATTGTGGGGGGCTCCTATGCCTGCTCAGTGTTAGCTACCACTGGTGCAAGAATGGATTAACTGTTCAAATTAGTTAGCTTGCTAGTTAGTTTTAAGACCAGGTCTGAGTATGCATCCCAGGATGCTCTTGAGTTTATTGTGTATTCAAGTCAGGCCTGGAACTCATAATCCTATTGCATCAGCCTCCCAAGTGCTAGGATTACAGGTGTGTGCCACCATGCCTGGCTCTGGTTCTAGCCCTGACCTTCTAACAGTATCAGCCAAGGCCTCCTTGGAGAAGCTAGGGCACAGAGTGACATCACTGACAGCTGTCTGACCTCTGAGTGGAATGCACTCTCAGCACTATGCACTTCCCCTTCCCCGCGTGCAGGCGAAGCCCTCGTCTCAGGCATGAAATCCGAAAGCCACGACACTCTTCTGCAGACAACCTTGCAAATGAGATGACCTACATTACGGAGACTGAAGACGTGTTCTATACCTACAAGGGCTCCTTGTCCCCCAAAGACAGTGACTCCGAAGTCTCTCAGAACCGCAGCCCACACCGAGAGTAAGAATCTTGTGGTTTTCCTTTCCTTGTCTCTGCTTGATGGCTTTCGTGGCATTTGCTGAGGCTTGGGCTGCCATTTTCAGAGGACCCTGCCTAGATCCCCAGGGAGCTCAGAGTTGCATGTTAGGCCCAGTTGCTTTTGCTTCACTCAACCCAGGTTCTATCATATCTATTCACTTTAGGGTATGCTATCTCAAGTCAGTTTTTTGAAGATGGTAACATATAGATCATAGATGACCTTCTAAGTTCAAGTATAATTGGATGATAAGCTGTTAGGAAATCAACCCTGGGTCCCCAGTCTGCTAGGCCACATATGATGGCCAACATAGAGAAATATAAGGCCTCCCTTACCAGCAAAGGATTAGCAAGCAGGCACCTTAATTAATCTGGAAATGTTTATCATGGTAGACACTAGCTTAAAGCACTAAGTACATTCTGAGGGTGCTGTACACACTAACTGCCAGCCTCCTCCTTCCTTCTGTAGGGGCTGCTGCCTCTCCTGCAAACATGATCTGTGTTCTTAACACCTCTGGCTAAACAATCCTCATGGTCTTTGCTTCCTTATGGTGTGAGCTTAGTGATGCTTTTGTTGAAATGATCACTGTCCCTCCAGCTTGCCCATTGTAGAGGCTACTGTGGATGGATGTGGATTCTGTTGTGACATGGTAGCTCTGCAAGGCACAAGCAAACCTAGAAACACAAGGCAAGGGTGCAGGGGAAAGCGACCAGAGCCTGTTTAAGTCCTCCATGAGCGCTGGGCTCTGTCACATTGGCAGAAGGAAGGCACTTCCAGTCATGGCTTTAAGTCTCAGCGAGAGACTGGACAGCATCTAGAAGACCCTCACTCTCCAGTACAGGAGCCACAGGCGATTCAGGTTTAAGCTAACTAGAAGATAAAATGAAAGCACTCGTCCCTCAGGACACAGAAGCCACATGAGGTACTGTGAGGAGTCACGTCAGTACTGGCTACCAATCCAGCACGGGATGAGCCCAGGGGAACCCATTCCTGTCAGCCTACAGCCGCCGTGGCAGCACTTGTGCTGCCTGAAATGCCTGTTCAGTCCCTCACTGCAGCCTTGTGAGCCCCACAATGTCTATAAGCAGAAAGGACATTTCCCAAGCAGATGTCCAGTGATATTTAGGAGCATCATCTGGCTTGCACTTGGAGCACTCACCACCTCTCTCCCGGCTGCTCAGCTGCAGCACGGAAGTGGGTGGCCTCCCAGAGTCCTCGTGGCCTTGTGACCTCTGATGTCTCACAATGTGGTGAGTGCCAGGTGCAAGATAGTTGGCTTTCTGTTCTGAGACATGAGCTCCTTTCATTCCCAGGTCCACCAGCATGATGTGTATACTTCCTGGTCCCAGGGGAAAGGAACATTGAATAAACAAGACTGGGGCTGGATGCTACCCCAGTAGCATCCAGCCCCAGTCTTGTTTATTCAATGTTGACCTCACTGAGTTCTGTCCTGCTCACTCCTCCATACTGCATGCTCATTCTCTCTGCAAGCCTCAGAAGAGGTGTCATTCCAGGGCACCTTATGTTGCCGCTAAATGTGAAAAGTAGCAGACAATGGAGATTGAAAGGTGGCTCTTTTTAACCAAGGTCTTCCAGGTGCACATATACACACTAGGAAACTTGAAAGTTTGGTGAGGGGCTGGAAACCCAGCACTACGAACCCACATAGCAAGATGGAGGACCCTTACCAGGCAGCAGGAAGCAACAGACAGCAGAGGCCAGGGCCCCAGAGCAGCATAGGGTGGGGCTCCATTCTCTAGGCAAGAAGTACAGGCTGGTCTCTACTCAGTGAGAAGAACTGTGTCGGAACTCCAGTGAGTATTTGCAAAATGTTTAAGAAACGTTTGACATGTTTTCTACAGCAGATTTGTGTTAAGCAGCAGAAAGAAGCATTCTGTCAGAGCAATCCTGTGAATAATCTCACAGACAGGGAAGAAGGTTCCTTTTTAGAAGAATTAAGTGTAATGCTCTTTACTCAGTATAAAAGAGAGAGAAGGAAAAGCAAAGAAGAGCGGAAGGCTTTGGCTCTCCACCCAACGTGGCAGAGTGAGGCTGTCGGAACATTACCCGGCAGATGACTCACTTGCTGCTTGTTCCGTATTTATAGCACAGCGCCCCAAAGTTTATGATTATAGTTATGAAGTCTTGGCAATGCGCATTGTGCCCAATCAGGCTGTGTGCTTTTGTTCTGGGTTCCTCTCCTTGCTTCCAGGGGAAATTGAATTCTGAAGAGAAAGAAGTTTTGTTTTTTTTTTTCATGGCAAAAAAAGAAAAAAAAATCAAAACCCCCTCCACCTTCCACCCAGATACATGGCAGGAGATGCGCCCTAAAAGCTGACTTGAAAATATCCTGTGGGGAAACAAGTTTTAGGACAGTATAAGGTTGTACTCAAAAGCCTTTTCTTTGTTGTTGTTACTGGTTTAATGGGTCACCACTGTGATACCCCTCTCGAGTGTTGTTTCCTGTCGTAGTCTTTGATATTTGTCTCTTTCCTGAAAACTTAACCTTCTTCTATAGACAAAACTTCTGTGTATTGCATAGAACCTCAGGGATCCTCTTTTTCAGTCACACACCCATCACTAGGCTCCAAGGACCTGAGCACGCCTCCAACATGGAACTCCCTTAAGTGTGGTAGCCTGCTGTAATTGGACACTGGTCACTACAGCCAGCCCCCGCCATCCACAGTTTACTTAGGCTGATGATGGTTGCCGTGTCTGTCCTGAACATGTAGGGACAGTTGCTCTTGTCAGTATTTCCTAAATCATAACAACAGGGTAACAACTGTCTACGTGGCATTGGCATTGTATTGTCAGTAATCTAGAGATGATTTAAAGTATATAGAAGGACATGCTTAGGTTACAGGCAAATCTGGTGTCCTTTTTATATAAGGGATTAGAGCACCTTTTTTATATAAGGGAACTGGCTCCATGCAGCGGGGGTCCTGGAACCAGCCCCCTGTGACCCTGAACGACAGGATGCTCTAGAATACAGGTTCTGGCCTACAGCTCCCACAAGAACTCATGGTGTTTCTTTCCAGTCCTACCCACAGTGTTGCCTGCTGTTCTTTAAGTTAAACGATCTCACCTCCTTCAGCCACTTTCTGCCTTTTCCCTCTTTGCCAATCACTCTCTGAACCCCTTATAAGAGGGGTGACACCAGATCCGAATATGAGAGTAGATCCATGCACCATCCAAGCCTCTCCTCAGAGACTCCACCGAGGAGGACAGGGTGCTACCAGGCATGTGTGTGTCTGTTGTCCCTAATCCTGGCCTGGCTTGCACTTGGCTTTACCCACTCATCTGTGGAAAAGCATCTCGCAAATTCCTGGAATCCCGGCTCTTCATCTTCATGCCTGTCTCATGGCTGCCCTATGTCCTGGTGAAGGGACAGTTGTCAATATGATCTGGTTTGCACCTACTAGACAATTGAATTTTCTTTTACTTCTCTTTTTATTTCCCCATCCTTCTCTAGGTGTCACCATGTTAGTTCTGTTTCCCAAACAACTTTTGAAAGCATTTAGGAGGAGTCTTTTTCTCTGTGGGAAATCCTTGTCAGTTTTCATTTCTTTAACATTGTAACTCTTCAGTTAAGTAGTTCTGTCTCTGCCCCCTCTTAGGGTCTGGGGTGTGTGTGGTCTGCTTCTTGGAGGACAGCAGACAGTCTTCCTCTGTGCCCTCCTCCTCGGGAGCTTTCTCTTCTCCTCCCTTCTCATCAGCTTCCTCCCACCCATGCAGTCTGCTTTCCTTCCCCCACCCCTTCCCCCACTCCTTTCACAACAGCCTCCTTGGAGCCGGCTACACAAGGCAGCACCCTCCCCCTCTCCTCACCCATTCACTCAGCTCCCCATCAGGAGTACCTCAAGTCCTGCGCCAATAAGAGAGGAAGCTATGACATCTTGGCACCTTTTGCTGTTGGCATCCCATGCCCTGTCCAGTTGCCAACTTCTCATTGCTTCTCATCCTTCATTGTCCTTCTTGTCTGTCTGTCCATCTAGCCTGTACACCAAACACAAAATATCACTGAACTCTGCAGGTAACCTCTGTACATAGGTGAATAGGCCAGAAACCAGCCATTCGCTTAATACAGTGCAAGAAAGCAACCTCTCCAACCCTACTAGGATGACTCAGAACGTGTTATATATACTAGTAGTACTGTTAGCTGTTTTAGCTGGACTGTTGAGATTTGGTGGTGGTGGTGGTGGTTTTTTATTTGTTTTGCAGTGCTAGGAATTGAGCCCAGGGCCTTGTATATGCAGAGACCAGTGAGGTTTTGTTTTGGGGGTATTTCTGTGCGTGTTTTGTTTTGTTTGTGCCCGTCCTGGGGCATGAACCCAGGACCTGGGTGCTATTCCCAAGCTTATTTACCCAAGGCTAGTGCTCTACCACTTAAGCCACACTTTTGGCTTTTTTTTTTTTTTGCTGGTTTATTGGAGATAGGAGTCTCATAGACTTCCCTATCTAAGATGGCTTTGACCACCATCCTCAGAGCTCAGCCTCCTGAGTAGCTAGAATTACAAGTGTAAGCTAGGGGCACCCGGCTCTGAGATTTATATTGGAAAAAGAATATTTTGAAACATCATACAATGAAATCCCCAAACTAAACTTTTTATTTAAATATTATATTCATCAATACTATTTTGTTACATAGTCTGTTCTCTTCTGCATTGTCCCCTTGCTTGCCTGGGTTTTCTTTATCTGTCTCCTCTCCTTTCCATTGCTGTTCCTCTCCTCCAAACTCATCCCAGCGTTTGTCATGTGAACACAACCTTTGCAGCTTCTTCCTGTGACAAGGCCCAAGTGCATTTCTAGATCAAGATCCTTCCTTCCCCTTTAGCAGTTGCCATTACTGCTAAAGGGGAAGAGCAGAACTGCCAGGCACAGGTGTCACATGTTTGTATTCCTAGCTATTTAGGAGGCTAAGATCTTGAGGATCATAGTCTGGAGCCAGACTAGGCAGAAAAATCTACCAGACTTCATCTCCAAAATAACCAGCAAAAAGCTGGACTGTAGGCATGCCTCAAGTGGTACAGTGCCAGCTGAGCAAGCAAGCTGAACTGAGTGTGAGGTCCTGAGTTCCAGCCCCAGTACCTATCCAAAAAAAAGTAGACCTAAGATGTGGTCCTCAAAGTTGGATCACTTATCTGGCAAGTGAGAATCTTGGATCCCTTCCGGGATAACCAAACCAAACCAAACCAGTAAATCTTATCCATATTGCTAAGCCTGATGCTAGAGAATCACTTGAACTTAGGAGTTTAGTTGCCCAGAAATACTGAACATCCTGACCTATACATGCGGGCACAGGCAGGATGGATCCTGCCAGATTAGAAATGAGTCTTAAGAGCTGGTTGGAATGGTCTGGACAGAAAATGCTAAGTATCCACATGCATCAGACTTCTGTCTCCTAAGTGACCTTGGGACAGTTACTCACCCTCTTTTGACTTCAGCATCTTGATCTTTGAGATTGGAGTTGGAACTGATACCAGCTGGGGGGGGTGGGATACAGATTCATTTTCTCTACCCCTTAAAGAGTTAAAAGACAGGGGAATATATAAAGCAGACAGGGCAAGTTTGTTTGAAAGTGAAAGAAAAGCCACAAAAGGAAAAGTATGGTGAAAGTCTTCATTTGGAGCGGGGCCCCAAAGAGAAGTCAAATGGTGTCCTCTTTGAGGGCAATTATTGTAACCCAGAGCACCTCCCATGTCTCTTTGGAGCTTTGTGCTAGTTGCTAGATGGCTTGTGTGTGCATTGTCCTCACTCTTTTCATTGGGTAAACAGGCTCCCAGGGTATTGTAGGAAGAAGAGGTGTTTGAGCAAGATCTCAAGGCACTATGAGAACAAGAAGCTCCATGATGGGCCGCAGGTTATCTGCCAGGTGTTAGGCACTTTTTATTCCTATCTACCTACCAGTTCCCCTTTCTTTCCCTCAGAACAAAAGTCTGTACCATCCTCATGGACTGTCATTGTCCAAGACAACACTAACAGAACTGCTGTGGTAACAGAAATGTCTTGTAACTGTACTGTCCAGGGATGTGACCACTAGCTACGTGTGGCCATTGAGCATTAGAGATGTGGCTGGTACAACTAAGGAAATGACTGTATCATAAATTATTTAAATCTAAGCCACATGGGACAAGTGGCTACCATAATGGACAATGCAGCTGTAAGATACAGCGCAGCTCTACGATGCAGAAGGACCTACATGAAGTCGAGGAAATGAAACGTGTGGTCTCGTCACGAATGAGATCATGGGCACCCCAGGCCAGTCACTGCAGACCAGGAATGATAGAATGGTCTCAATGTGCAGCAGTTGCCTTGTTTTCCTTGAGCAGCCAGGCCTCCTGCGAGGCAGAACTAACAGTAGAAATGAGATGGAAGGGAATGGCTCTCAGGAGAGAAGGGGCCTTGTGCACTTGTATGACCTGACCTGAAAGAGTCTGTGTCAAACTTCATGCCACCCAAGCTGGGCAGGGCACAGCTTGGAAGCCCAAATTACTCAGGAGCTAAAGTAGGAAGATCTCCTGGGAGTTCAGGATCAGCCTGGGCAACACATTAAAAAAAAAAAAAAAGCCAGGCAGTGGTGTATCCCCTACCTGTAATCCTAGTTATTCAAAAGGCTGAGATGTGAGGATCATGGTTCAAAGCCAGACCAGGCAGAAAAAATTTCCATGAGACCCTTATCTCTAACCAGCAAAAAGCTAGAGGTAAAGGCATGACTCAATTGGTACAGCTCCAACCTTGAGTGAAAAAAACAAAAGGGAGTAGGAGGTCCTGAGTTCAAAACTTAGTTTGGGCACATGCACACACACACAAAGATTTTTAATTAATTAAATTACCAGAAATACCTAGACCCTTCTCCTCACCAGCCATCTAAAGCAGTGGGAGGAATGTTGTTTTCAGCAGCCTATAGGAAGACAAAGCATTGTCATACTGTCCCTTTTTCCCTAAATGATGATATTTAGGGAAATATCCTGACCTTGACTAATCAGTCAAGGTCAGGAGTGGTCCAAGGACTCTGAGATCCCTGCAGTGGCCCATTGAACCCTGGCAAACCGTGACTTGCCAAGCCCAAGAGTGAGGGATATTTGTTCTAATCAAATATTAATCTAGTTATTAAACTATCTCCTCCTTCCCCACGATGAAGGAGTTTATCCGAGAACAACCCAGCACAAAGCTGCCTGACCCAGAAGTCATCCAGTTCTGTATCTCCATCTTCAAATGCTCCAGGCTCCTGCTCACCAGACGGCGTTGACCAGCGGTTCTTAGAGGACTACCATAGAGTGACCAAAGGGGGCTCCACGGAAGATGCCAGCCAGTACTACTGTGACAAGGTAAGTGGGCTCAGGTCCTGCCGTGCCCAGGCGATCTGATGAGCCGCTCTTTTAGGCAGGCTACTAAGGCAGTATCACCGAACACAGATCGCCCGACTCAGTGCTGGAGAGAGAAGTAACCCAATGATACTCTGAACTGTCTTCCAGAATGACAATGGAGACGGCTACTTAATCCTCATCCGTATCACACCAGATGAAGATGGGAAATTTGGATTTAATCTTAAGGTATGCTGTGTGTAGTCCTAAGGATGGTGTTATGGCATGAAATCATCTACAGGAGAATTTTTAATTTCTGTTGGAAATGGGCTTGTGTGCACTCAAGCTACACAAGTAAACTCCCTGGGGAGGCATCAAAGCTCCTCGCCTTGGAACTGGGAGTTTTTGATGTGTCCATGACAACTGCCTCATTCCAAATGCCTGCTCTGTGTCTGATGTTTGATACACACTGGGTGTATGTCACCTTGCTGACTGTTTTGAAGTTTATCTCACAGGTGAATACTGAGGCACAGAGAGGCATGGGCGAAAAACCTTCCCCTTGGAAGGGAGGGTTTTTTTTTGTTTTTTTTAAAGAACCCTGCAGTATTGCTAAAACTGGTGAGAGAAAATGGCTGTTACATTTGCAGGGCCTCCACATGCTCTAGAAGCCTGCAGGCAGGGCCTGCAAACTGTGACCATAGACTAGCTTCCATCTGTTGGTGGAAACAGTGTTATTAGAACAGCCACGTCCATTCCGTTACTGGGTGGGTGATGCTGTGACAGAGGTGAGGACCTCAGAGCCCTCTTTCCTACAAAACCTAAAATACCTCCTCTCTGGCCCTTTACATTTCCTATCGAGCATTGTTACCCGCCCCCCTTTGTTTTTTCCCTAGCATGTGTTCAATCCTCACACAAGTGTACAGTGAGGGCAGAGTGCTCCTGTCTGGTGGCCCGGCTGCCATCGGTCATGCCTCTCATTTACCCAGCGGCCCTCTGAGGTCCTGCTTGCTCGTAGCTTGCTCATGACACATGGCCCCTCCTGAGGCCTGGCTGCCTCCCCTGACAGCTATTTTTCTAACAGCTTGCCAAGCTCACCCCCACCCCCAGGTGGGGCTGTTGGCATTGCTAAGTGGAGTACACACCCACTGAGTATATTATTCACAGATCATGATGGGGTCAGGGGAGGCTGTGAGCAGCGTTCTGGCCAGTCCTGCAGATACACAAGGGTCAGCAGTATGGTTCAGAATTCAGAGAGGGATGCTAAGCCCTGCGAGTTTGAGGCCTTCCCTAGACCAGAAGTCTTGCATTTAGTGATTGTCTTCAGAGGCTTTGATGCTGTGAACTACTTAAATGTTTTTGTACAGGGAGGAGTGGATCAAAAGATGCCTCTTGTGGTCTCAAGGATAAATCCAGAATCACCTGTAAGTAATCATGTCCCACCTTATTTCCCATGTTTGCTTTCCTCTAGATAGAACAGGTCTCTGTGTCTCATTGCCTGCCCCCTCCCACCCTCCCTTCCTCCTTCTTTCCTTTCCTTCTCCTTCCTTTCTTTCTCCTCCCTTCTTTCCTTCTGTCTATTCCCTTCTTTTCTTCCTTCCCCCTTTCTTCCCTTCTTTCCTTGTTTTTTTTTGCATATGTAAGCCCACATGGACAAATGAGAGAGGGAGAGGGAGAGAGAGAGAGAGGAAGGGAGACTGAGAATAGGAGCTTGTATTCTATAGAGTCTTGCTGCAGAGTGTGAGCCCTGAGCTGCAGACCTTACCACCTGGGATCTCATTAGACATGCAGAACCTCTGGCCCCACTCCACCCAGGCCTGCAGACCCAGGATCTGCATTTTTAACAAGATGCTCTGGTGGTTTGTGTGCACTAATTTAGGGAAGTACTGCTCAAGAGCAGGAAACAGTTTGCTGTTCTGCTCACCCCACGCAGGGTCAAGGACATCACATTTTACCACTGTGCCCCCCCATCCTTCCCAGCACCATTCAGCCTCCTGCTGAGGCCTGTGATCACTTAACTCTCTTTCTAGTTTGTCTTAGTGCATATATTTAAGGTGTACCATGCACTGTTTTGACATGCGTGCACATAGTGTATGTTGACAGGGTTAAACACCCATCACCCTTTGTAGTTCCTTTGTGCTCCTTTGCTTTTATAAAGCAGTGGAGCCGAGTCAGAGAGTCACTGTGCTTTCTAAATGGGAAGCACTCCTTAAAGGTTTCACTCTTAAGTCATCCTTAAAAAGCCTGTTGTTTGCCTTCTCTGCTGCTTATGGCTTCTGGGGATTGAGAAGGCTTTCCTTCCTATCTCTACCCATAATGGTCTCTGCCTCTAGTGTTGTGCTGATGATGACCTTCTCCATGGTAAGACTCATAAATACTCACTCCCAGCTGGCACACCGCGTTCTGACAGAACATCCAGAAAACAAAGCTTGGTAGGCATCACTTTCCTTATCCCAACTAGCAAAGGTTGGCTCCTGTGGAGAAATGGCTCTACAGTTTTCCCAGCCTCATTTTGAAATACCTCATGACTTCCCAGCTGTAGTTAGCTACCAGGTTCACATAGCACTAGCTTTAAGAGGGATGGCAGTCTATCCGAGGGAGAGAAGGCGAGCTGGATCATGGTCTCAAGTGTCTGGGCCCAGAGAACCGCAGTGAACTTTCCCTTGAGGGTGGTGCTATGGTAACCGGGAACCTTGCTTCCTCCATCCAGGCAGACACCTGCATTCCTAAACTGAATGAAGGGGATCAGATCGTGTTGATCAATGGCCGGGACATCTCGGAGCACACCCACGACCAGGTGGTGATGTTCATCAAAGCCAGCCGGGAGTCCCATTCAAGGGAGCTGGCCCTGGTGATCAGGAGGAAAGGTAACCGGCACCTGCCCGCAGGGGGAGGGGCCACGGGGAAGCTGCCTTCGCCTCATCTAGTCTAGCTGGTGCTTTGTTTGGGGGGTTTGTTCGTTTTTTTTAAATGCTGAGTCTGTAGCCAGCATTTGAAAGTCAAGAACTGTGGGGTGTCTGGCTTCTGACATCTGCCCACCAGAGGCCTGACCTCTCCTGCCCAGTCCTCTAGAGGCAGAGAGCCCGTCCCATCCCCCTTATACTGGGCAGGATCCCCTCCTGTTTCTTCCAATCAAGCATAGCTCCGTCTACAGCATACTCTCAGCTGCCTGGGCCTGCAGACCTCTGCGCCAGCCCCTTCTTGAAGCTTTGTTGTTAAGCTTTATTCCTGTGTGTTTGACTTTGACAGGGAGGTAGGGAGGCAGTGAGGGTAGCAGGGCCGGAGTTCAGCTGTCTTGGCTGTTGCCTGACTCTGCTTCCCGAGGGCTGAGGCGCCTTGAACAAGTTCCGCCCCAGTCAGCATTTCAGCATCCTCAAGGGAAACCCAAGCATGGCCTAGTCCCTTCCTCAGGTTCTCCTGAAGAGGAAGTGACTAGAGACCAGCCATGTGTGTTTGAAAGAAGGCCTCTGTTTAGTGTCATTAATATTATTATCCTTGTATTATAAAATAATAACTTCCTACTGGAAGTATGACTCTGAGGTCGAACAATTAATTGTCTAGCAAGCATGAGGTCGTGGGTTCAAACCTCAGTTCCACCAAAAAGAATTAAATAAAAACTCTCCCGCATAGCTTTAAATACTGATGGTGAGTGAGTGAAAAGTAGAGACGCTGGCTCCACTTTCTCCTCCAGGGCTTAAGGCATCTCTTCCTCTACAAGTCCAGCAGCATGCTTGGTGCACAGTAGGTGCCCAGCAGTAACCAGCTGTCTGGACCACTTTACATCCTCATCCCCCTCACCTCTCATGACTCTCCTGAGAGACAAGTATTTTTGTTCCTCTAGTGGGGATATCAAGTCTCAGGAGATGAAGGCAGTTACCCTGAGACCTTAATGACTGGTCTAGCTGCTTGTACTGACAGTAGCTGAAGGAGTAGGTGCTGACACAGCTGGCCCTGTGGTGCACTGGCTGGCTGCCCCGGACCTCCACAGGCCACAGCAAGGGGCTGGTGACTGTTGGGAATGGGAAGAACTGATGTGCATAGACTCTTAAAGCTAACTGGTGGGACAAAGGGTGAACTAACATAGCAGTGACACTCATTAGACACTATGATGACAATGAACTATACAACTTATGAGGGAGGGGGCTGGGAGGGAAAAAATGGGAGAAAATGAGGGAAGAGGTGACAGCATTCAAAAAGAAATGTACTCATTACCTGACCTGTGTGACTGTAACCCCTCTGTACATCATCTACAATAAAAATTTTTAATTAAAGCTTAAAAAAAGCGAAAAGGCTAAAAAGGCAAGGTCTTCAGTTTTCTAATAACTGTAATGAGAAGTATGTTTTTTACAAAACGTAAGTAGAAAAAGTGAATTGATTTAAAGAAAAATAAGTCAACACTGCCCCATTTGTTGGGAAATAGAAAGACTTGGAAAAAATTATATTAAGCGAAGTAAGCCAGGCCCAAAGAAACATAGGTTCCATGGTTTCCCTTATTTGCAATAACTAGTATATGTCTGAGACAAGCAGAAAAGGTCAGATAAGTTGATGTTAGGTGAAATGAACCCCAAGATAAGGATTCAAATGTTTTTTCTTTCTTGCGATTGTTTCTAACGTATTTATAAGACGATTTCTTTGTTGCTTTGTATGTCCCTCCCCCATGGTAGAACCCCTGCTTTCACTGTATATGATGTTGGTATAATTTGTGAAGGAGAAGGGAAACAAATTGTTTAAATAGGGATACAAGTGGACCCATTGTAACGAGATGTACAAGTCGTTATGTTGCAAAAACGAACTTTACAACTTTGGTGGGGGGGAGGGAGAAGGGGAAACAAAGGAGGAAGCAACAATGCTTGATAAGAAATGTACTCGTTATCTTGCCTATGTAATTGTAACCCACAATTAAAAAAATAAAAAAGTCAGCATTATTAGCCTAGGGAGATAAAGGTATGACAGAAATTACATCAGTACCTAGAAGCTTAGCTTCTGTGGTCTTTAGAATCATGTAGATGACTAAACTCCCATGTCCCACCCTGACAGGCTGGGTGACTTTGTACAAGCAGTTTGCCTCAACAGTTCATTTGTTTCTCTGTGGCTTGGAAGGAGTCAGTTAGACTATTGGAGTGAAACCTCAGATAGTGTTGGTTTCCTCCTGCCTTCCTGTTGAAAGTAGTAGAGTGCCTTGTAAATGAGACGTGACTTCCCTTTCTAAAGAGAAAGAGAGGCAGGTGCTAGTGGTTCACATCTGTAATCCTAGCCAGATCTGGAGGCTGAAATCTTAGGGTCAAGGTTCAAAGCCAGCCCAGTCAGGGCTTAACGCTTAACTCCAATTAACCACCAAAAACCAGAAGAACGGCTCATGTAGGAAAGCACCAAGGCACCTGGGACCTGAGTCTAAGACCCAGTACTACTGGCACAGTCAATCAATGAAAATTAAATTCAGAAATGATACATAGCTTCCGATTTGGGAGAAAGGAGCAAGTGAGGTGAAAGTCTTGTGCAGGTGGGAGAGGAAGAGGACTTGGATTGTAGGATACAAAGGGAGAATTTAGACTTCACAGGAATAGAGAACAGAGGAGATGTGAGGACTAGAGGCTCACACTGGGAACTTCCCATGGAGAAATGACCTCCATCTATCTACAAACCAGGCTCTGAGGGATGATGGTGTCACAAGAAGATCTTGAGACCCTGTGCCTGGAAAAGTGCCTCTTACAAAGGAATAAATTTTAAAAAACGGATCAGAGAAGGGAGGGAGTATGGAGTTGGGTAGAAAAATAACCAGGTCAGGGGCTGGGAAGGTGGCTCAGTGGTAAAGCGCCTGTCTTGCATGCCTGAGGCCCTGGGTTCGATTCCTCAGCACCACATAAGCTAAAGAAAAAAACCGGAAGTGGCGCTGTGGCTCAAGTGGTAGAGCGCTAGCCTTGAGCTGAAGAGCTGAGGGACAGCGCCCAGGCCCAGAGTTCAGGCCCCACGACCAGACCCAAAAAAAAGAAAGAAAGAAAGAAAAATAACCAGGTCAGAGAGAGGAAACAGATTTTCTTCAAACACATTCTTCCTGTTCCCTCACCTTTGGCCCAAAGCCTGTCAGTACTCCACTGAACACTGTCATTTAAAACTAACCCAACAGTGTGTGTGTGTGTGTGTGTGTGTGTGTGTGTGTGTGTGTGTGTGTTATGTAATTAGCACCCATTGAATCATTCACCTAGAAATAGGATCTCTGGCGAAAATGACTGCCGTGTGCTTAATCATTTAATGAGATGTCGTAAACCACCCGCATCCAGATATCACAGGTCGTGTTTTGAGGGAGACCGACATGCCAGGGTGACAGGACCTCCATGTTATCTCTTCCAGCCGCCCACTCGTTTGCTGAGATCAGATCTGAGGATGAACTGAATCAGCTTTTCCCAGAGCCCATTTTCCCCATGTATCAGGAGGGAGGAGATACTTTGGAGGGATCTATGGACCTGCTCAAGAAAGGCCTCGAAAGTGGGACAGTGCTGATCCAGTTTGAGGTAAGAGGTTCCTATGACTAACACTCTGCCCAGCCATTGCCACATGCTCATTCGTCACCTGCAGTCGTTTGGTGCTGGTGACAGAGCAGGGACACGAGCGCCATGTCTGTGTCCACAGTGTCTGTGTGGCTCCTGCACCTCTGGCAGTAGAGGCACCGTGAGGCCCTCCAGGGGACGCCTGTGCTCCTGAAAGGAGACTGGGGGCCAGGCGGAGGCTCCTCTTCAGGCTTAGAGCATCCCCGCGGGCAGCAGGGGACCACGACTGCCACCTGTCGTTGAACTCCAGCTCACCTCCTCGCTAGTAGCATTTTGGTAGTCATGGAGAGACTATCAGAAATTGAGGAGGAGGGCCTCAGCGTGTTTAGCTGCCAACACACAAGCTCAAAACTCTCCGAGTGGAAGGAAGTGGAGAGGCGGCGGTGGGGGCGAGCCACCCAAGGAGTGATGAGGAGTGATGACAGAGTCACTTCTCAACCCCTTCCTCCCCGCCTCCCACCCCCAACAGCTCACTCAGAAATGGGGAACAGACAAGCACAAAGCATCTGACTTTCCCAGACCCCTAGCACCGCAGAAATCAGGTCAGACACCATCTCCCATCCCCTGCCCCCAGCAGACAGGGGACTGATTGTTGACAGAGGTCCCAAAGGAGTCTCTGATTCTAGCTCAGTTTTACTAATTACTAACCCCATGAAAATAGGACATGTTCATCTTCCAAATGTTGAGGAAGGAATGTGGGAGTAGAAGACCGAGCACAGGGTGCATAAGTTGGCCCAGGGAAAGAAGCTAGATCAGAGTTAACAGTACCATGCCCAGTCGGGTCATAAATGAAGGATGAGAGTCTTACATGGGATTCAGACACACAAATCTGCAATGCATCATTTATTAGAAACCACAGGAAGATAAAGGATTCTGAGGCAGAAGTAGGCCAAATGAATGTGGCTACAGAGTGATTCAGGAAAGCATGAGTAATAAAAATATCAGACAGAGCTGGGTACCAGTGGCTCATGCCTGTAATCCTAACTACCCAGGAGGCCAAGATCTGAGGAACACAGTTCAAAGCCCACACAGGCAGTAATATCTGTGAGACTCTTATCTCCAATAAATACCAAAAAGCCAAAAGTAGATCTGTGGTTCAAGTGATAGAGCACTAGCCTTGAACAAAAAGAAGCTTGGACACAGTGCCTGGGCTGTGTCTGAGTTCCAGACCCAAGGCCAACAAAAAGAGGAGGGAGGGAGGAAGGGAGAGAGGAGGAAGAGGAGGAGGAGGAGGAAGAGGAGGAGCATCAGACAGAAAAAAGCTTCAAATGAAAGTTATTTGATAACAGTGTAAGGAGGAAAGGAAGGGAAAAAAGAAACAAAGAATGTGATATTACATATGGAAGGGGAGACCACAGCCTGAATGCTGACCAGACCAAGCTTATAGGGTGTCAGCATCGACTACACAGCAAGGAATCCTGGGAGATGTTTCCAGGTAAAGGGAAGGGGTCAACGCTGCAAGGACTGCTCCAGTTGCTTAGATAGATAGTCCACAAGGGGGCGCTGTGGGCTCTCCCTGTAAAGTCTCTCAGGTGGCTGGACTTTGATGTGCTTTTGCATATAGGAGTCCTAACCCCACCCCCAAACACACACACCTCCTGCCCATAAGATTTGCCTTGAAAAGGGTTTCATGAACTTTTTAAAGAAGTTTTAAAAAGCTTTGCACCCCCTGAATTTGGAATGGTATTTCTCAAAGCATGACTTCAAACCTCTAGTTTGCCAATCACCTGGTAGTACACTGGGCCCAGTCTGCGCCTAACAAATATCAGTACATTTAACAGATCACTGAGGTTTGAATGCCCACACACTAATCCAGAGGATGAAAGTGGAAATCAGACATACCAGGTTTTACCTTCAGAGTTTGTAGATGGCTAATGACTTAGAAATGAGAATGTACATTTTAGGATTCAATTTCAGTGTGTGTCCATTTATTTCCATTAGTCAATATACTTCCTAGAAATTAACTAGGAAACCCCTCTCTGAAAAAAAAAAATCTCTTGCCATGAAAGGCTCATTATCTTTCCTCTTGGTTTTATAGCTTCTACTTTAGAAAAAATCCTTTGCTATTACTATAATAGAGAAAAATAAATAAATAAAATAGTGTCTTAGCCATGTCCTGGTGGTCCATGCCGATAATCATAGCTACTCAGGAGACCGAGAGTGGGAGGACTGCAGTTTGAGGCCATCACAGACAGAAAAGTTAATGAGGCCCTTATCTCAAAAAATAACCACCAAAAACAGGGCTAGAGGAGTGGCTCAAGCGGTAGAGTGTCATCCAAGTAAACCCAACAAATGCAGAGCTTCCGAGTTCAGTGCCCCTTTCCTATCAAAGTGAATAACAGAACTCCAAAAGTGATACAACAGCGATCTGGGAACCTGAGCCCAGCCTCTTCAGGTGTCCCTCGCTGCTCCCTTAGCTAACGGGTGCATCCTGTGTGCACCACCACTGAAGAGGAAGGGGAGGCCTTCCACACCTGCTTGGACTGGAGTCCTGCAGGAAACCAGGCCAAACAGGAAGCTAACAGAGGAAGACACCCCGGGCTTTACAGGGCCATCAGTTTATAAAATTCTCACAACAGATGATGTAGAATCTCAGATCATGTGGCCTCCCCAACTGCTCACAGAAAGGGCACAGCACAGTTGGAGCCCAGGCAGGCTAACTCAAGAGCTTACTCTCTTAACCACTATCTGTGGAGCCTTCAGAAACTATGAGATGCTGTGGCCTGTGACGGTTGTTATTCGGGTAGTACGCATCAGAGATAGAGAACATCTGGGAAACTGTCCCACTAGATAAAGCCAGGTAGACTTTAACTCCTGGCTCTACTCTTATTTCTCCGTAACTCTTGTCTCCTCATCTGTGAGTGGGGTATCTCCTCACCTGGAGTATCTCATATCTCATAGGTTGATTGTAAGGTGTGGATGAGAAATACTTTATTGTAATTGGCTGATACACATGACAGCGCCATAAAATTGTAGACCAGTTTAGTATCAATAAGCCAAGAAAGGCTCCAAGACTCTAAAGAGCACAAGAACTGGTCACATGACCCTAGGCTCGTAACCATGGGCTGTCCAACTCTGGAATTCTGGTGGCTCCATTCTCATCTCTTCATCTTCTAGAGTGATCAGAAATGGCCTGCTGATAAGGGTTGATCTCTGTGGAGCAGAACAAGGGTGGTCTCAGCAGAGCCCTCCCCCCCCCTGCAACTTGATGACACCAAGCCTCTGCCCTGGATAGTAGACTGTAGGCAGATCCCCTCCATTGGTGGAGAGCTGTTTTCCATGAAGGGAATTCCCTCATCCCTCCTGTGACGTTCAGTAAACAATTACAAGTGCAGTCCAGAAAGCATTTGGTCTCAGCTGCAATAGAATCACACTTAATACTTAGCATTTCTACAGCACCTTGAAATCTATCAGGTGTGTTTCACATATGTTGTCTCAATTAACTCTCGGAATGGGTCTATGAAATAGAGGTGGCCAGAGTTACTAACAGTATTTTGGTGGAAGAAGGGAACATGCCTGTGGATGAACCTAGGGGCTTCTCTTCATGCTAAGTATGTGCTTTACCATTGACCTATACCTTCAGCCCCAAGATCATCCTTAGAAATGGGGGAAATGAAGCTCAGAGAGGCTAAGGTATTTGTGTTACATACCTCCTTTGGGGTAAAGTTAGAATTAGAATCTATGTTAATAAAAAACCTGGCATGGTATGACATACCTGTAGTCCCAGCTACTCAAGAGGTTGAGGTCGGAGGATATCTTGAGTTCAGCAGTTTGAGATCAGCTTGGGTGACATAGCAAGACTCAGGCTCATATACATATATAACACACATATATTCACAGTCCACTAGTTGCAGCTTACCATGGCTAGATGTGACACAACCCTTTCACCCAGCCTGCAATGCCATCCTTCCCTCCATAGTGACAGGTAACAGTTTAGGCAGCATTTGCAATTGGCCTCAAACTGCCTAAGTTCTGACTTTATGCAGGCAGTGTAGGGTTTTCCTCTTTCTCCCATGTGAAGGAGTAGGCTTGGGTCCATATTGGATTCAAGTCCACATGCATGCCACCTGATCTTCTTTAGGGACTGCAGCAGTTCAACCGCAGGTCATTCCTTCCTGAGAGTAACTTGTGACTTATTCCAGGATTTCTCTCAGTTGAGGTCCCTGTTTAATCAAGGAGAAGGAATTGCATTGGATAGCGTTTGCTGGATAAAGGCTTATCAACAGGATGCCAGCCTGCCCTATACTGAAATATGCCCGGGGAATAGTGTCTTGTGTCATAGTGAGCAGGGGAGACTCAGCTTTGGCTTTTGACCACTGTTCATCACCACCTGTGGGTGTGGTACAGGAACTGAAAGCCACGTCCTGCCACTGAAGGCTGCTGGAGCCCTCCTCCTGCCCTGCTGCCGCCCCATTCAGCGTCAGCCTCTGCAAGGCAGGCAGACGCAACACATGCCCGCAGTATTTAACTGTGCTTTGTTCACACAGCTTTCTCCAGAGATGGATTTCTTTTTCATGGATTTCTTTCACTGTATTTCTTTTCTCATTTCAGCCATTTAATCATCATTCTCATGATCATAATTCATAGAATTTAGAAATAGCATACGAGTTAAGTCTCCTGACCCCCATCCTATTCAATTTCTTCCTCTTTGCTATAGCTTAGAAGTAACAGTCTGATTGACGTGGACTCTTCCACACTTGATCCAATGCTTACACAAATAAGTATACATACACCTCGCACCGTGTGCACACATAGGATTGTGCTTGTATACATTATATGCACTGTGCGTATGCTGCTGTTATGTGAATGGGCTCACCATTGTTTACTCAACAACACGCATTTTTCATTTAGGGGTAGATGGATGAGCACCCAACACCACCACTCACTCCCCACAACTGTACTTTTAGCCTATCTCAGTGGCTTTATTATTTGCATGAACATTCTGTGACATGACTGTACCGCAGTTTTGCTCAACCCTTCTCTTCTTTGGGGGATGTTCAGGCTGTTTCTGGTTTCCTTCCAGTAAATGTTTTGCTATAGACAAACTTCTCTGACACGAGTCATTATTTATTTCTATAAAGTCCAGAGTATATATATTAAAAAAAATTAATACTGTCATAGGATGTGAGAAAAAAGTTCAGCATTTTAACAGTCCTATCAACACATCATCACTACCACGAGGCATTTAAAATATTATCATAAATAAGCAAATCTAGCAAAAGTGCTAGAGCTCTGCTCATCTGCTAGACCTCAAGTTAATTGCACTTACATTTCTGGGACTTAAAAGTGCCTTTCTAGCTCAGGGTTTGTTGTGCTGGCTTATATTCACTTAATTGGATTTTGCCTCCATGCAGTTAACGCCATTTAGATAAAGGTGGTTGGCTCTCATGGCCTCCTTCTGCCAGTGGCAAACCAGAACCTCCAATAAATCATGAATTTATTTCTAGAATGCACTCAGAATCTGGAAAGCCTGAAGGTCTCTGGAGGTTGTCCCGCAGCTACTTGATTATCATAAACTGAGACTATACGGGTGATCAGATCAGTAACTGAACTCTTACAGAATTTGGGAATTCAAAACATTCAGTAAATAAATAAAATTAAACACTATGACGCCAATCTCCATGTGAATTCTCTTCAGAGAGTTCTGTACCATTTGTTTATTAAGAGAGAAACAAACTAACAAGCTGGTTTACAAAACACTACACCATTCATAAAACTAAAGGGCCAAGGAATCCTGTCCAGCCTCTCCTCCTCCTCAGAATTTAGACAATTAAGGGTGTTGGCTACAATTTTGTGAAATAACCATAAATAACTTACTTAAATTCCTGTCAAAAGAACTTGGTTGTGTATAGCAAAGTCCTTAAAAAAAAAATATGTTCTGTGTCACGATTCTGTTCTTGGACCTTTATAAAACAGTTGAAAACAACCTATTGACAAAAGAGAATGAAAAGTTAAGATAAATTAGAGTAAACTGGACTACTGAGCCAATAGAAGTCATCTATATACGAAGAGGAAAACAGGCTTCAAAATTCTGGTAGTGTTTCCAAGACACAAGTTATCTTAAATGTTTAAGTTGGCTTGAGAAATGCTTCATTGATCAGAATTAAACAAGTGTGTGCATTGTAGGGCTTGTCTTGTAGGAAATTCATAGTACTTAAGGTAAAGATTTCCTAAAGTATGTTGGCTTCCAAACTTTTCCTAAGGATTACAGTGTTGTTAGCTTTTTGTCGCTGTAACAGATATCTAAGAAAAACAGTTTAAAGGGAGGAAAGATGTAGTTTGGCTCATGGATTCAGAAGTTACAGTCCACAGTCAGCTGGTTCCATGGGCCAGCTGGGCCTGAGTGAATAATATCATGACTGAAGGAAGAAGGGCGTGGTAGAGCGGAGATACTCACTTAATTGCAGCAGAGAGAAGAAAGTCTGTGCTAGCAGGCTTCTTCCTCTTTTCCCCTTTTATTTTTCCATCCCAGCCCCCTGTCTGTTGGATGATGCCACCCATATTCAGGATAGGTCTTCCCTCACAGACACCCATGGGTGTGTTTTTACTAATCTCTTAGGCAGCTCTCAGTCCAGTCAAGTTGATCATCAAAATTAACTGTGCCAACCAGGAGCTGGGGGCTCATGCCTGAAATCCTGGCTAGTTAGAAGACTCCGATCTGAAAATCTAGGGTTGAAGCCAGCTAAAACAAAAAAGTCTGAGAGTCTCCAATTAACCAGCAAAAAACTGGAAGTAGAGGTATGGCTTAAGTGGTAGCACACCAGTCTTGAATGAAGAAAACTAAGGGAGAGTGCCTAGACCCTAAGTTCAAGTCCCAATACTGGCAACCAAAACAAATTTTTTTTTAAAAAACACATGAAAAAGATACCTATTATGACTTTAAGATGCTTGGTTTCTACTGAATATAGTGGGAGGAATGCTAGCATATATAGTAGTCCAACCTCATTTCTTTTCAGAAAACCCATACAAATGTATCATTTGTTTCCATACATACTTGCTTATCTTTGTTTAAGTATGTATATGTTGAAAAAAATGAGAAAAAATATATAAAAAGATTATCTCAGTTATGTAATTGCTGGTCTTTTCTGGAAATACATATCTTTCCAACATCGAAAATTTTCTAGAAAAAAAAATATCACTTCCAACATTGATTTTAAAAAAACAAGTTGTTTTTAAATTCCCAGAGAGCTAATAAGAACCACCTTGCTGATAGTTGTCTAAGTGGGAGAAGCTGTGTAGAAAAGAGATAATAAGCACCAAGTGCATCCTCTTGTACTCTTGGGCTAAGCAATCAACCTCTAACTGTCACTTGGAAAATAAGAAGGGTAGTTATATCTCTAGCTGGGCTGTGGTGTGATTCTTGTCTGGTGCTGTGTAACATGTATTAGATGTGCTTGTCGATATGCAAGTGTTGTTTTGTTTGACTATTTTGGTAGATTATTGTGTATTGGGTAAATGTCTTACCGTGGAAATATACTTCTAAAATGATGAATGAAACACTCTTGCTCTTTAGCAAAGGATATGGCTCATTCCATTGAGTTGGAGGGAAAAGGGGTTTTAGATGAATTTGGATGAGTCAGAATTCTATTTGAAAATAATTGTCATAAAGAAGGTGTTACTTACCGGGAGCCATTATCTATGAGTCAGACTCCTGCCTATAACTTTTTCTCACTCAAAGTTTAAAAAAGAATTACTGAAGAATTAAATCCGTTTCTCCTAGAATTATAGAATCTCGATTGGGATGACTTTTTCGTGTATTAACATAATAACTCTAAAGAGTTAGTATGATTTGGTGCCATGCAACAAAAGCCATTTTTATTTTGTTTTGTTTTGTTTGTACCAGTCCTGGGGCTTGAACTGAGCGCCTGAATACGGCCCTGAGCTTTTGTGCTTAAGGCTAGAGCTCTAGCCCTTGTGCCACATTTTACTTTCAACTTTTGGTGGTTGATTGGGAGATAAGAGTCTCACGGACTTTCCTGACCAGGCTGGCTTTGAACTGGGATCCTCAGATCTCCACCTCCTGAGTAGCTAGGATTAGAGGTATGAGCCACTGGCACCTAGATCAAAAGCCATTTTTATGTAATAATTTTCATGTTTGTGTCTAGCAACTCTACAGAAAGAAGCCTGGTCTGCCCATCACATTTGCAAAGCTGCCTCAAAATTTGGACAAAAATCGATATAAAGATGTACTGCCTTGTGAGTATCTGGCCTGAATGCCTTCTTCCCGCCTTACACTGCGATAATGTTTCCCCTTTTCAAACAGATTGTCTGGTATTCTGGAACGGTTTTCAGTGTTTCTGTAAACACCACCGTCTTTATTGCAGCCATCTCAGACTGGGAACAGTTGGGGAATAGTGTTTATGCTAATGAGGAGAGAGCCACAGATGGGGCTGGGAACTGAACCCTTGTTTACTTAATATGATAAAAATAACACCCAGAATAATCGGTAATGTTTTCTCTTTCACAGATGACACCACCCGGGTAACGTTGCAGGGAAACGAAGATTATATTAATGCGAGTTATGTGAATGTAAGTTAGAAATCTTAGTAAAAAGAAAGAACACATTCACTGGGGTAACGAGAACGGGGACCCAGCCATTGATAAGCGCTGTCCTGTTGGCTACTTCTCTGTAGTGCAGCAGCCACGGGAGGGAAGGCAAAGCCGGCTTGCTTTACAGGGAGGAAGCGAAAGTCCCGAGAGAATGAATAATAACAAAGCTAAGAGAGGATGAGCACCAAAACACCCTGTGTTTCTAATTCCATCATCCCCGGTGCCCCTGTACGGGCTCACTTCCTTTTTATTTCTGCTAGTGGTATGTTTGTAACTTTCTGTGTTTTTTCCCCACATTATTAGTGTCACCCTGTTTAATAACAACAAAAACTTAATAATAACAAGTAACTACTTGTTATAATCACTTACTTGACACTTTAATTGCTTCATCTAAACCCTGGGTCAGCAAAGTTTTTCTGTAGAGGACCAGTAGGAGCTCTCTCATCTTCACATTGAAAATGTAACCACTGAAACAACAAATGCTGAAAACCACTTTTAGGTTTCAAAGTTGCAGACAGATGTGGCCCTCAAGCCTTCAATTGCCAAATCCTGATCCAAACATCATCATGATTTCTCAGATTAGTCCTCAAATTATGGCAGAATAATTACCCTAGTAAAAACTGGTCTGAAACAAGTGAGTCCACTTGCTTCATAACAACTTTAGGATTAGTGGGCTCTCACTTTAACGTATAGTTTCAGGAATGGTGGGGTGGTAACCCCATGAAGTCCAGTGCCTTTATGGTTGAGGAGTCAGTGAAGATGTGCTTCACTGTGCCAGTCCAAAGCTCAGTCTGTTCTGAGTGCTCTTTTCTAGAAAGGACTCAGTCCTGAGGGGAAAAGGTAACCACAGGGCAGGATGGAAGAAGTATTTACTTAAAACACTTCAACATTTAACACCAACATTGTTCAACTTAATGGTATAGTCATTGGGAGCCATGTCGGAAGCAAGATGCATTGAGTTGGTGGCATTAACCTGCATAGTTTATGTTTATTTTAAAGAAAAGTAAATAGTTCCTACTGTATTTTGGTGGTGTATAAAGAATATCCTATTTGAATGGGAATGGTAGGTGACAATGTTGAAAGCAAGTGACATTGATCAAGACATACTGTATTATAAACTGCTTCATAAACTGCAACTCCTTTGTACAACTGAAGATAATTTTTAAAAATGTTTAAAGAATATCCTAATGAAGCCATTAAAAAAACCAACTATGTAGATTTCCCCTTGCATGGGGAAAGACTTAAATGTAGGGTTGGCACATATGGCTGGAAATGAAGATAACTAATGTTGTCTATATTTAGACTAGACCAATTAAAGTCAATTAAACTCTTGGCACCTTGCAGGGACATTTCAAGTTTTGCCTACTGACTATCATACAGTTTACTCTTAAAGTTCCTGATGCTAGCTAGCATTATTCAATGATTGGTAGAAATCACTTCTTTGATTTATATCTTCTTCACTGATTTGATAGAGATATTTTCTGGTGTGATTCAACTAGCAATTAGGAGAATTCAAAGTGTAGAATTGGTGGCAGTAACAGAGTCTAATGCTTTTACCAATCTCTTGCTAGATGGAAATTCCTGCTGCTAACCTTGTGAACAAGTACATTGCCACTCAGGGACCCTTGCCACATACCTGTGCACAATTTTGGCAAGTAGTCTGGGATCAGAAGTTGTCACTCATCGTCATGTTGACAACTCTCACTGAGCGAGGGCGGGTAAGTGACTTGATTTCCAATTCAAATGGATACAGTGTCACACTATGTTATGTGGAACGTGACTCCTCTCTGCTACCCCCAAATCTCCTGTCTGCCGTCTTCAAATGTGCAGTCTGTCTTCCTGCCCTCTCTAGCAGATATTCATTCCAACAAGCCAGAAGGCAATCCTCCTGCTTCACCCCACCTGCCCCAGACCTCTGTGTTGGCTTTGGCCTTGCCTACCTGGAGCAAGTTCTGCATTTGAGAAAGAAATGTATACTAGCAAAAAGTGTCTATAAAAAGTCAAGTTGTGGAAGTGGTGCTACAGTTCAAGTGGTAGAGCTCTAGCCTTGAGCTGAAGAGCTCAGGAACAGCACCCAGGCCCAGAGTTCAAGCCCCATGACCGACATAAAAAAAAAAGACTTGACTTTGGGCTGGGAATGTGGCTTAGTGGTAGAGTGCTTGCCTGGCATGCATGAAGCCCTGGGTTCGATTCGTCAGCACTACATAAACAGAAAAAGCTGGAAGTGGCACTGTGGCTTAAGTGGTAGACTGCTAGCCTTGAGCACAGAAAGGCTCAGGGACAGTGCAGTGGTCCTGAGTTCAAGCACCAGGATTGACACCAAAAAAAAAAAAAAAAAAAGTCAAGTTGTATTATTGTTCCATTTTCCACAGAAATAGAGCATGTGACATCACAGAAATCAGTGTGTGAGGGCTACTTCTATCATGAATTCCTTGACCTCTGGATATATCTGAATATCTTTATTATGAAATGTATATTCAGAAACATATTCCAGCACCAGAAATAAATTTGTTTGAATAATCTGTTTGTTTGCCACTCCCCCTACCCGCCGGGCCCCCCCCCCCCCCGTGGTTCCTTCCCTAGTGGTTGTTCTCAGTGCTGAAGTAGTCCATATGACTTGGGAAGTACCTTTGAAGAGGTTAACCTGAAACCACAAAATAAGAATTCCTACTAATTCTACAGAATCCCATGCATTTAGACAGCTTTTATATATGTTGTCCTAGATAAATCGATCTCTATCTCTGCTTAACCAGTCCCAAGATCCATCCTGTGGCTGCTCAGGTCTGACTTTCAAAACTTCCTCTTCACAATGAACGTGTCACTGTTAACCTCCATCCCATTTAGTTGTACTTACATGGAAGACACAGAGTAGGTTCCCCACTCTTCTGTGTGATGTCCCTTCAGATATCGAAAATAGCCTTGGGTTTCCACTAAGATCAGAGCTTGTGTAGACATTGTCTTGAAATTGCCATTGAGCCAGGCTCCCCTAAATACACAGTGACCACCTTGGCCAGGTTGGTGCAGAAAGAGACAATACAGCTGAGCCCTGAAGACTCACACCTATAACCCTAACTACTCCATTGGCTGAAATCTGGGAGATCGTAATTCAAAGTTAGCTGAGGCAGAAAAGCCATGATAGTCCAAATCCAAAAAATAACCAGCAAAAGGCTAGCCTAGAGGTTTGGCTCAGGTGAGAGAGGACCAGCTGAGCTAGTGCAAAGCCCTGAGTTCGAACCTCAGTACCAGCAATAAAGAAAAAACAATGAGACAATACATACAAAGAGCTTAGGCAATTCTCTTCTACAGGTATCTGGCAAATGCTGCGGTGGTGCTGTATTGTCACCAGCAGCAGCAGCAGCTGTATTCAGTCCTCACCTCTGGCCTTTAGGCGGCACTTTGGCGCTTCCTTATTTCATGGCATCAGTTATTACTCTTAGCTTCTAGTCACAGATTTGGTCAGAATTTTTTTTCTTATCACATAAGCTGTTGATAGGAAATAGTGAAGAGGCAGTAGTAGAAACTTCTTCCGAAAGGCAAGGAGAGTATGCACTGCCCTGGGCAGGGCGGGGTGGGGGATGGGGGGTGCGAGGCAGCTCTGTTCCTTTCCTTCCATTTCTCTATCTCCACCACCCAGTTACATGGGAGACTGAGTTATGACTGGAATTACCATCTACAGCTTTGTGGCAATTAACTGATCTCTCTGGAAGCATCATAACTGCCTATGTTTTGTTTTCAGAATAAATGAATGTACTTGGATCTTTTTTAGTCAGTACTGGGGCTAGAACTCAAGGCCTTACACTCTCCACTAGTGTCATACTTCCACTTCCATTTGGGTGGTTAATTAGAGATAAGTATCTCAAGGAATTATCTTCCTGAGTTGGTTTCAAGCCATGATTTTTAGCTTCCTGAGTAGCTAGGACTACAGGTGTGAGCCAGTGGCGCTAGACACTTGGACCATTTTTTTATATGATTTGGGGAGCCTCTGTTCCCTAAGTCAGCTTGTAGTGCTATTTTTTTCTTTTTTTTTTATTTTATTTGTGAAAATACTGTACAGAGGGGTTACAATTGCATGGGCAGGATAATGAGTACATTTCTTACCAAGTATTGCAGCCTCCTCCTTTGTTTACCCTTCACATCATTTCCCAGCCTCCCCCCTCCCCCCCATCCCAATCCTTCTCCTTCCCCCCTCCCCCCCCTCCCCCCTAGTGCTATTTTTTTCTAAAAGGCCTATGGCTATCTGGTTATGTGGTGTTGTAGGTGAGAAGGCAGAAAGCCATATTTCCCAAGATCAATACCTGACATTACCACTTTCTACCTGTGTGATTAATGAGCTGTGTAAATGGTATAACAATAACCCCTATGGGAGAATTGGAGTTAATACAGGTAGCCTTTTGTAAAAGTAATTGTATAAATATTAGCCAGCAGTAGTAGTTAGTAACTTGGGTGCGAACCAAATGACTATTAGCAGAACTGTACTATATTTATTTTGTAGTCTGTTCATTGTTTTCTTTGAATTGACTCACCTCATTTTTTTTAGCTTTTATAAATTAAGGTGTATTTCTTAACTGGAAGTCCAAGTATCACTTGCCATAAATATAAAATATGCTTAAAATATGTAAAAGCACAAAATGATATTTATTAAGCTCTAAATTCTCTTGCTTTCCAGGCTCTGAACCTGAGGCCTACTCTTTCTCACTCTGTCTGTATTATAAAATAGAGTTCAAATATTAGGGATGTGGTATTAAAGTAACCCCAAACCCAAATCAGTCTCTCTCCATGGCACAACTAAAAATACTGCATGAAAAGAAATTACTCTCCCACCATGTGGTTCTGTACTGCTTAATGCAGATTCAGTCTCCCACAAGGCAAAGAAAAACTGGTGGGCTCAAGTCTGGGTCATTCTGGCATTTTATAAATAGTAGAAGACATCACATGGTTGTATTTGTTGTGATAATCGGGTTTGAACTCAGGGTCTTGAGCTTGTTAAGTAGATACTCTACCACTTGAGCCCTCTTTGCTTTATTTTTTTGAATAGGGTCTCCTACCTCTAGCCTCTTCTGTAGCTAGGATTACATGGCCAGCTTGTTGGTTGAGATGAGGTCTTGTTAACTTTTTGCCCAGGGTAGCCAAAATCCATTGTCCTTTTTCATTCTGTGCCTCATGAATAGCCAAGATTACATTCATGCCCCAGTGTGACTGGCCCATAAACATCAAATCTTGTACATTGTCATTTCCTTCTCTGTTTTCACTCAGCCCCATATTCTTTTATGTTGGATGTAAGTACTTTAGATTTTTTTTTGGGGGGAGCAATTTATGGAAGTGCCACTGTGCTGTCTCCTGAGTTCTTTTACTTCATGGTGCAGCTCCTCAGAGCTGACTCCATTTGGGCTCAGCACTTCTTCTTTCTCTCTTAAAGTTCATTCTCCCCTTTCCAGCTGGACAGACATCCTCAGAGAAAAAGGAACCCCCTCAGGAGTGGTTGATGACAGGCGATCTACCTGGAATAGCAGCCACCTTCTTTTCCTGCCTCTACTTGTTTCAGCTCTAGGGAAAAAAAGGCCCTTTCTGCAGGCAAAAAGCCTTAGCTCTCCTGTTCCACTGGCTTGTCAGTGTCCACTCTGAAGCCAGTTCATCCAACCCAGAACATTCCTTTGTTTCTAGCTCCTCCTCCTTAACTGCTCAGCTGCTTGCCTTGGGTTTTCTGAATTCGATTCCCCTCTCCCGTGAGGCCTGCCATTCCCTTCTACATGTCTGGCCCTGGGAAATAATTCTTTATCAGTTGTGAAAAAAAAAAAAATACCTGTTCTTCCAAAACCCAGGATTCATGTTTCCACTCTCAGGTTACCACTCTTTGTCCTGCAATCCCCATGGCATCCTGGTTGCCAGTTCTTCCGGATTGTATTCAGAGCTGGTCATTCTGGGTGAACCGCTTTGCCACATTATCTTTTTCTGAGCGATGAATCTCCCAGTGCATCCTATTTCTTTTAGGATATTGTGCATTTGTCCCATATTGTGCTCACCCAGCAGGTGAGGCCCCAACCCCTTCCGGTCATGGTGGGGTTCTTGGAATTGCTCTCTTTTCTCATTTCTGGTCACAGTGGCCTTCACTGTGATCAAGCTTAGGGGCATTCTTTCTATAGAAATCACTTCTCAGTGGGAAAAATCATTTTCCTTTTGCTTTGCCTTCCAGCAGATATTTCTTAAGGTTTCTTCTTGTTGTTTTTATACCAATGTACTTAATAATACAGAAAATCTTCCTTCCCAGGCAGCAAGTCCTTTAAGACACAGGCTTTGAGATCAGAGGTGGCATTTGGATTTGGAACCCTTGCCTTTAACTGGATAACTTTCTGCAGAATTCCAGCTCAGTGTCCTCATCACTGGCACTAGTGTCTTTCTCTCTCGGGTTGTTTTGAGGATTAAGCATGACCTCAGGATATATGGTGGTAGCTTATGTCTATAATCCTAGCTAATTGGGAGACTGAGCTTGAGAGGACTGAGATTCAAGGCCAGCCCAGGCAAGAAGTTTGTGAGACCCCTTTTTAATTAATAGCTAGGTATAGGGGTGTGAACCTGTCATATCCCAGCTAGCAGAAGGCTGAGCATTGAGAAAAATCACAGTTCTAGACTAGCTTAGACTTAAGTAAAAAATCCATAAGATTCCATCTCAAGGGAAGAAGCTGGGCATGGGGCTGTCTGCCTATCATCTGAGCTGCAGTGGGAAGCATAAACTGGGGATCCAAGTCTAGGTGCAGCCCAGGAAGGAAGTAATAGTCAATCTTAAAATAACAAATGTGAAAAAAGGCTGAAGGCCTGGTTAGCTCCTGTCTAGAAAACGTGAGGCCCTTAGTTCAAACCTATGTATCACCCCACAAACACACACAGACACATGCCAAAATGACCTCAGACCTGTCTCAAGCTAAGTGTTTGAGTGGGTCAGCAACTCTGGATTCCATTGTCATCTCTGAACCACAGGCAGATGGCTTTTCTGTAATATCAGGGACCCCAGAGTGCCATGAGGATGACAGGAAATGGTTTGAAGTGGCACCGTGCTCTGGAAACTCTTGTTATCTGTGCTTGGCAAAGTACAGGCTATGTGGCTCCCTCCCACCCCAGGGCACTTATTTCTGAGTCAGGTGTCATCCTGCCTGATGAGTGGTCCAGCAAATGAAACTGAATACTGACTTCCACTGGCTCCTGGCCCAGATCAGCTCCTTCCTATTAGACATGTCTACCCAAATGTCCTCACACAAGATGAGCCCACACACCCATCCTCAGAGCCCACGCCCCAGCCAGAGGCCTCTATCAGCTCACCCAAGTCAACAGTCTTTACCCCCCCCACATCTACTCATCGTGATTTACCCCCACTGACCACCATCTATATCCCACTGCACCCCCTCCTCGTATCCCCACAGCCTGCCTGCTGTCAGGGGCTTTGCAGTTCTCTGCGGGAACTGCAGCAGCCTCTCTTGTAACCACTGACCCAGTCTCTCCCTATAGGCTAGGCTGGCCCTGAACACAGCTTGCAGCTGGCTTTGCCAGAAGGCGAGCCTGGGCCTGTATGTCCTGCTCCACAGACAGACTTGTCACTCTGTTGCAGTTGTATGGGCTGTGTTGTGCCCTAAGCATACAGAATCCTCTTTACCGTGTATGTTCCACACCCTCTGCCTCACCCACCTGCCTAGGGAGCACCCTCGGCCTTCAGCCTCTGCTCCCGCCACCTTGTCCTGATGGCTACCGCCTCTTTCTGTCCACCTACCCCAGGTCTGGGAGCATCTCAGAGATAGTGCCATACTTGATCTGATCTGATTCATCACAACCTCCCCCACCCCCGCCCCGACACACACACACCCATCCCAGGGATATTTTGTTGACTGACCAAGAAAGCAAGCTCCTCCCAATAAAGCTGCCTTAAAAGGGTCTATGGCTCTCCCACACAACCCCATCTAGTTCATCTGGGGATAATGCTCTTCCCCACCAAGAAGCCAGCCTTCAGCATGTTCCTTCTGCTCCCCATGCATGCACCCTTCCCAAAGCTATTTCAATGGTCAGATTTCCCTTTGTGAAGCATCTCCACAAAGCCTCTGGCTGGCTTGGGAATGGAAGGAGAGACGCACTTCCCGCTCAGCGGTCTGCATTCCTCGCACAGAATCTTGTCTAGGGGGATTTTATTCCCAGCACCCCCCTGCCCACTGGCCAGCTCCACTGAACTTTGTCCTCTGGTGACTTCCCTTTCTACAGCGCCAGGCCCTTTGCCTGAGTTACCTGCCTAAGATCACAGCCTGGCTCGGACCCCATTCCTATGCCTGTGATCTGACACAGGTTGACTCCTCTTCTGAGCCTCAGTTTATTCATATGAAAAGCAGACAACCACCAACAGCCTTCTGGGGTTGTGTCTGAAGTCAAGATACCATTGTGCTCATGAAAAGCACCCTTCAGTGCTTAGTTCCCTATATCCTAAAGACAGTGGAAACAGGCTCAAAGAAATTGAATTACTTACCCAAGACATTCCAGTAGACCAGCTGAGCTTGTTAATCAGCCAGGATCAAAACCTAGGAGTTCCACAAACAGCCTTTTCTTCCACTACACTGGGGAACCCACAGCTGTATTAAGTCATTAGAGACAGTGACAGAGGTCACTGCAGCTCTGGCCTTGGGCGAGCTCCTTGGTGTTCTGAGGCCTGGGGTCCTAATCTTTTAGGGGAATGCTGGATCCATAGAGAATTTTCTGTGAGGGCGAAGGAGAGCCATCTCAGCATGGAAGTTTCCTTACTCACCACTTCTCAACTGGTACAATGTCTGTAATAAGGACAGTTGACCTGACCTTCAAGCCATACCTCGCACACCTTCCGGCCTGTCACTGCCCTGGAGGGAGGTGCCGTCCCCCCCTTTTAAGTGAAAAACTGAACATCAGAGACGTCAAGTTGACTGTTTGCCGTCAGGTCTGGAGATGGAGATGATACAGGCTGGGCTCTGTCTGACCCAAAAGTGCCAGCCTGTGGTGCCTGCCTGTGGGGGAGGAGGGCAGAGGCAGGAAGATGTGCTGAGAGCAGAAAAGGGGCCTGAGGGACTGGCTGGGCCTGAGTTAGAGGGGAGGCTGTTCAGAAGCCCAGGCCTATGTCCGAGGCCTGTGCCAGGCATCTATTAAAGGAACCCTGGGGAGGAAGAGGAGTCTCTTGACCTCCTGAAGCCTCCAGACTGGGCTCCGCCCCCCTGCAGCCAACCCCCACAGAGGAGGTCCACTCACCCTGTTTCTTACAGACCAAGTGTCACCAGTACTGGCCAGATCCTCCTGCCGTCATGGACCACGGTGTCTTTCACATCCAATGTCGGTCAGAGGACTGTACGATTGCCTACGTGTCCCGAGAGATGCTGGTCACGAATACGGAGGTGAGCTGAAGTCTGAGGCAGTAGAGGGTAGGGGCCAGGTGGTCCCAGACAGCCAGGCCTGCTCTGTGGCCCCCTGGTGGTCAGGTCTATAAGGTACCATGGCAGTAGGCAAGAGAGATGGGGAAGGCAGTGTTGGAGGAGATGGCTGAGCTGAGCCCAACAGGATGGGTGTCCCAGAGGAGGCGGAGGCGGCAGGAGTTAGCAGGTGCCACAGCGGAGCGGGACCCAGTGGGAGGAAATGGGGCCATCTAGGTTGGTTTCAGGCAGGGCCCACCGTCTTGATGAATTCACCGAAGCCCCCGTATCTCTGCAGACTGGAGAGGAACACACTGTGACACATCTCCAGTATGTTGCGTGGCCTGACCATGGCGTGCCTGATGACTCCTCAGACTTCCTGGAATTTGTGAACTATGTTAGGTCCCTGAGAGTGGATGGAGAGCCTGTCTTAGTTCACTGCAGGTACTGTGATTTTGTCCATGTGTTTGGGAAAGGCCTGGAGAAAAGCAGCAGATACCAATCCTACCCTAAATCCACCCCCCCAAAGTTGTATGCTCTTACAAAGCCCTACAAACTCATAAATACATGAATGTAACCCGGAGCCAAAGAGGAGAACCCTACCCCACTCCCATCTGCCCTTCACTGCAGATGTGACTAAGAAAGCGTGCCTTTGGCACGTAGTACTGGGTGTCTCTCCTTCAGTTAAGCCCCAGTCTCAGGCCTTGTAAGGAGAGGCTATCTTAGCCTGAGAACACACCTTGGGGAGGGGGGATATTTTATATTCTTGAATACCAGAGCCAGGTTCCCTCTGTTACTGAGGACGCTGGCTAGCAGCTCGGCTGGGCTGTGCAGACAGGCTACTCCGGCAGATCCCAAGTCTCTGCTTCTCCTCCCTCTCTAGCGCTGGAATAGGTCGAACAGGGGTACTGGTTACCATGGAAACGGCCATGTGCTTAATTGAAAGAAACCTGCCCGTTTACCCACTGGATATTGTCCGGAAAATGCGAGACCAGCGTGCCATGATGGTGCAGACATCAGTGAGTAGAAATCCAATAATCAAAATAACCATGGTCCACATGTCCTGAGCTCCTGCTTGCTGGACACAGGCATGAGAAAAAGAGCTTTGTGATGAGCCTGAGACTTGAAGGAACTGAGTCACCTGCCCAAGGTCACAGAACTTGCCAGGGGCTCCAGACCCCTAAAGCCCACACCCATCCAGCCTGAGTTCTGCTGCCAGGGAGCAGCTCCACCTGCTTCTGCACATGGAGCCACAGCCCATCATTGTCCATCAGAAGTCAGCAAAGGTCTGGGGCTCCCCTGCCCCTTCCCTCCCTCTTCTCCTCCTCTGGGCTGTCTCCTGATAACTGCACACTTAGCACCACAGATTTCCTCAAGAGGAAATCTCTAGGTTTTGCTCCAGAATTGCAAGAGGCAGGGTGGTAGTATAGAAAGAAATGGCTCTGGCACCTTTACATGGTCTCTTAGCCTTTCTCATAAGCTTCATCTCTCCATCTACAAAGTAGCCTCCATATTCACATGCACTCATTCGTTCAGCTGCTAATTGTGCAAGTGGGAGACACCTAAGCTTGCATCAAGTAGAACTGGGTTAGTCCTTTGTACATCTCAGCAGTGATAGGTGGATTCCGTGGTGTCTGAGAACATGCTGGAAAGCTATCTAAAGGAAGCCTTGGAAAAATAAGGTAGACTTCCTGCAGAAGTGGCCTCCAGGCAAGCCCCCAGGGTAAGCAAGAAGGAGCTAGCAAAGCAAAACAAAGAACAAGAACTTTATGCTCCTACCAGCTCTGTATTATAGTCCTCATGGCTTGTGGACAGTTTGGGAGATTTCCCTAATAGATTGTGAGCCCTTGCAGTTGTATATTTGTTTGTGCCCAGGAACTCTGGTTATGACCAGAAGAAAAAAAAGAAATCAGCATATCTATTTAAGATCATTCTCTGTCTTGTTTAATGACATGGACAATCTGACTGTTGGTTAAGAAGAAAGAGCCCCTTACGTGGGCAGATGTTCCTGGCTGGAGAAGTTCTACATGCTCTTGATTCTCCTTGTATACTCTCTGAAATATGTATCTTATGTTAATAACTAGTTCTGTGTATCTGAATCTAAGGATTCAGCTAGATCACAAAGGAAAACTATTAGGAGAAATTTTGCATCTATATAGAACGCATGCCCTCTTTCCCTAAGTCATCTGATATAACAACTGTGCATGTAGCCTTTACATTGCATTAGATAATGTAAGTACCTAGAGGTGATTTAAAATATCTGTGTGGAGGTTGTTTATAGACTGTGTCAAATACTGTGCCAGTTTTTATTAGGGATTGAACATCTGTGGATGTGTATATCTACAGGGGATCCTGGAACTAGTCTCAGAAACGGAGGGAAAGCCATATAAATAGCCATATCCTGCTGAGCATTTTTCAGTGACCTCCTTTTTAAGACAAAATCCAGACTCCTTACCCCACACCCAGAGCCCAGCCCACCTGTGTCTGCACTTTACCCTGTGCATACATAAGTATTCCAAGTCACAACAGGAGGATTTTGATGAGCTTCACTGGAGTAACTAGCTCCTCACTTATCAGGCAGGACTTGAGTTCACCCCACTCTGCCCCAACCCATGGCCCAGGCTCTTAGCAAGTCATCAAGAACGATGCAAAGACGCCTGAGTACACAGCGGGATGCATCATTCCCGAAGATCCTGGACTTGACCTGTTTCTTCTTTTCCAGAGCCAGTACAAGTTTGTGTGTGAAGCAATCCTTCGAGTGTATGAAGAAGGCTTAGTCCAGAGGCTGGATCCCAGTTAGGACAACTGTGAAGCGTTCATTCCTCATTCCCCAGGGGGACACACTTTCCTCCAGAGGCCTCAAGAGGAACTGGTTGCTGTGGGAAAGGGATGAATACATTTGAACCCAGGCACTTTAACTTTCTAAAGAAGAGGTATCCTGTACATAGGAACTGGTGTAGATATGCATGCAGCTATGGCTTCCTTTAGGCCAGAGAGAAATAAGCCAAAGGGATCTCGGTTTTGGTGCCTGTCCAAATGCCTTCCTCCCTAGACATTATCGTGCCCTGTCAGCCCTCCTAAGCAGCTGAGAGGGGACACCAGCAGGACTGTTGACCCCCAGAAACCACCAGTAGTGTGGTTCTTAGGGTTGCTTGGGTGTTTTGTGTGTTGATATGCGTAGGACTCGGGGCTGAGCTTCCTAGGCCTCTTGGGCAGGACTGGAGCAGTTGGTATTCAACCCACTGCCTGCTGATGCCAGGGACCCCTGATGAATGTCCACACGGAGGGCGCAGGGGCTTCGGGCTAAGGACAAAAGCAGTACATGTGCTGCCCTCCTTCCCTCGCCTCATCTCTCTGTCTTCTCCCAGATTCTGGAGAATCATCCCTAAGACACCCCCGCTTTCCCCTTTCCTTGCTCTGCCCCTCCCCACCATTTCAGGTTCACACCCAGTGCCTGAACCAGATTGATAATGGGTATTCAGGTGACTTTCAGCCAAGACTAAGCAGGCTCCATGTGAGCCTTTGTCTTAATGGAAGAAGCCAGAAGCCAGGTGTGTCTCTTGCCTCTGCCAGCCTCTCAGCCTCTCCCTGTCTACTCAGATGCCAGTACTGGACACGCTGACTACTGAATCTACGACATGGATTTGCTGCTACTTCAATGAGACAATTTTCCAGGGGGGGGGGGTAATGATAGCATCTAACTATTCCAAATCTTTGGCCCTTCTGAGAAAAGACATAGGAGTCACTGACCACGGAAAACTCTGCTCCTCCCGAGTACCCTGCGGGTGGGTGTGCATGTGTGTGCATGCACCCTCCCTCGGGTAAGTGTTCTCAGGATTCCTAACTCGATTCAAATTACTGTTGAGTTTATATAAAGAATGAGTCTCTGTATAGAAGAACAAATGTGTGCATTCACCCTCAGTTACAATGGTCTCCATTTCATTTCAAAGAAGAAGATCAGACTATCTGAATATACACACAATTTGATGTTAATTTATTCTCAGTTACCCCATGATTGTCCTAAGGAATTCTGCCTTTGTGAATACTGTGTTGATTTTTTTTAATTTGTGACAGGATTGTAGCAAATTATTATTTAAAGAAAATAAATTACATAAGCATTTCAATGTGGCATTTTTAAATAGCATTTTTTGTGTATCCAGAAGAGGAAGCTCAGCCAGTTTCTTAATGATATTTATAGAAAAGGGATGTGTGCATATTATAGTGCACATAATGAAATATCTTGGTATTTAGCAGACACTGGACCAATTTAAATAATTTCCGGTTTGAGGTAGATACAGACCTATCTAGAGGGGGCAAGGTTTCTAAAAGTTCTTTATTTGCAGACCCAGCATTTTTTTCTTTTTCCGTGTGTGTGTGTGTGTGTGTGTGCGTGCGTGCGTGCGTGCGTGCGTGCGTGCGTGTGTGTGTGTGTGTTGGTCCTAGGGCTTGAATTAAAGTGCTGTACTGCTTTTGGGGTTGTTAACTGAAGATAAGAGGCTCATGGACTTTCCTGCCTAGGCTGGCTTCAAACCTTGGTCTTCAGATCTCAGCCTCCTGAGTAGCTAGGATTATAGGTGTGAGCCACCAGATCCCATCCGGACCCTGCACTTCTACTCTAAACTTCCCGTCTCTTCCCCATGCATATTTTACTACTAAATGGCATGAGTGGGAAGGAGGTAATACCCATTGCCCTTAACCCCATACTCTATAAGAAATTTCTGGAAAGTTGGGATAAAAGCTGAGAAATTGGTTCCTGATTCCACTTAATACTAACTAGCTCTCAAACAGGCACCAAGGAGCTGTAGCTCTTGCTTCCTCTGTTTTCCTCATCTGTAAAATAAGAGAAACAATAATAGGACTTAGGGTCAGACATGAGAACTGAATCAGTTCATGCATATGAATTTCAATCACTGGAATATCAGCTTGACCCTACTAGGGATGGGTAACCTGGAAACGTTGATTGCTCAAAGATCCCCCTGCCCCCAACACATCAAACAGAAGGAGAATCTCGTCAGGTTTTTATAGGAGAGCAATTTTCTTCTAGAACGCATGAGCAGGAACATAAAGGATACCAGTGTAGCTTTGCTCAATCTGGACTCAGAAACATTCCTCGTCAAGCGCCAAAAGAAGGAGGAGAAGCTGGCTACATTTGAATACCACCAGGATATTTAGCAGATCATTGCCATTCGGTAAAAGTACATCAGCACCCTGAGTGCAAAAATGCTTGAAAAGTCTTAAGTATCCTTGGAGATGGGTGTTTTATTATTTTTAAAAACAAAACACTTTCATGTGGCTGTGAAAACACTGCTATTATGGTTACATACATTTTCTAAAAAGCTTTGAAAAGGTTGCCGCCAGCCTTATTCTGCCACTGTGTGGGCCAGCAGTTTCCAGCCCAGCACATGTTGCCAAGAAAGAAAGATGAAATATTGGAAAAGGACAAAACAAGAAAATTACCTAAAGGAGCAAAATTTTTACAGAATACACAAGTAAATACTGTAGATGTGACCATTTAAAATGCATAGCTCAAGAACTGCTGGTTACCATTTCTTGCACTTCAGCAATTTCTCTTAAGAAGTCTTTATTCATCCTAAGTGAAGAACTGCAGTCAAAGCAGGGTAAATATTTTGTCTGGGAAATTTGGCTAGATATGAATGGAGAAGCCATTAACATCCTACATTCTGGCGCTTTCTAGAAGATCTAATTAGACACGTCAATGTGCTGGCTTAATCAGGATCGACTCCCTGCTGGTGTCGCTCTCTAGAACCTCCATGCGGTGTTTTGACTTTCTAGAGAAAACAATTCTACTCAGTTTGGTTGTGTGTGGTGAGGTAAGGATGCTGGAACCCAAAGTCACACCAATGATTAATTTCCTGCCACGGTCATTTATGTAGAGTATAAATTTTAGGGTAAATGTCCTTATGCTCCTGGTTGACGTATGTTTTTGTTACACAGAAATGATCACTTGGAGTAAGAGAGGCAATACAGAGGCAGCATCAATGGGAGACAATTGTAGAGGCAAGACTCAGTCCAGGCCTGGACCTAAGCAAAAGCGGTTACACTCAGCTTCCTTTTATGTAGAAGGGGACAGTTGAGCTGGACTAGAAAAGATCAAGATTTTTCATCTGGGCTTCATATTCTAGAGAAGTCAAATGAATTCTTAAACAAATTTAGATAGCTACCATAGAGCAACGAATCTCACTGTCGTAACTTGTCCCTGAGAGCTTGCCCCTCAAACTGTGTTCTATTGAAAAGAAAGACAAGGCTTTCCACCTACTGCTTCTTGCCTGTCATCCTAGGGAGAGCCTACGTGGTGGACTTTTACCCAGGGAGCCAAACTCATGGGGTCTCATGCCAACTGTCTTGCCATCTTGATAGCTCCTGTTCCATTCGGAGCAACCAAAGGATTGTATTAAGCCATATTGTTTTGAAAAGTATCTTAATTAATGAGCAATACTTTTTTTTCTGTAAATATGGGAATGTTTTTCATTCTGACCTGTTCTTGCAGTGACTACTGGAGAAATAATTTTATCAATATAAAAACATTCAAGCTATGCAATACTCTCATTGTCTGTTGACATTTTTATTCTTCTGAATGTTTGGTTTCTGCTTCCTTTCTTATTTTGCTTGCTTGCTTTCCCCTCCACACACCCCCCCCCCCCCCCCCCCCCGCCAAATATCAGTCAACTATTGAAAGAGAATATTTTTCTTCCCATCTCACGTTCTCTTTGGTTAGAAGCATGGGCCTACCATCCCCAGTCCCTATCTCTCCTTTGATGTTGAAAGGCCAATTCCACATCAGCATTAGATCCCATGGTCATCACAGCAGTAGCTTAATCAAGGAACCAGCTCATCCTACAACATGTAGGGCTACAGGGTAGTTCAGCAGAGTCTTGTCGCTCTGCCATGCTCAGAATACAACCTTTGTTCATATGGCAGCTGGGCCATGGTCATATGCCAACTACGAATTGAAAGAAGGAGAGGGTACAAGCAAGACTTTTACTCAGGGGATATCACCTGGATGTTCACCATCCCATTGATTAGAATTTCATCACAGGGCCATACCTGCTGGGAGGGTAATTTTTACTCAAAACAACCATGTGCCTAGCTACAATTTGAGAAATGAGAAAAGAATGAACGTGAGGGAACAACCAGTGGACCCTGCTGTAGCTCAGTCCTTTGCCCTTCTTCCCCCCACAAGGAACCTGTCCATCTTTCCCCCCAAAGGAACAGCAAACTATACAAGAAGCTAAGTAAAATCCTTTAGGAGGGGTTATTTTGAGGGGTGGTTCAGATGACTTAAAAAATAGAATATAAGCTGGTCTAGCATGCTCAAGGCCCTGAGTTCTATCCCTCGCACCACAATAAATAAATAAATACAGACTAGTTCTCCACCCCATCCTCGCTCTATAAACAGCACTGAGTAGGAGAAGAACAACCACTGAAAACTCACTTGTGAGGTGGGAAAGCGGGAAGTTTGAGCCAGGGAATTCCTGCTACAGGCTACCCAGGGTGGACAAGGAGACTTCAGAGCAGGAGTCTGCCCCCTGAATAGACACCTGACCTCAACCTGTCCTGGAGCTGCCTGGCTCACACATACAGCCAAGAAGGTCTTGCTGGCCTCTCTCTTCTCTCTTCCCTCTCTCTTCAAGGCCACTGCTAATAGCTACATTTTAGAGGACAAACACAGTTGGCATTTTCAACACTTCGGGACTTTAATTAGCTGAGTGCAGCCCACAAACCTCAGTTCCTGGGGCAGAATGGGGCTCACTCCCTGCCCTCCTTTGGTGTCTGCAGTCTGTCTGGCTCTAGCCCAGACTCACCTCACTCTCATAGGACCTTGGGAAAGGCAACCTGGAACCATCTTCACACCTTTTTCTCTCTCACCATTGCCTGTGGCTGGGGCCTCAGCATGTGGTCCCTTTTTCAAGATCCCGTGGATGACAGTCTCGTCAAATGTTTTGTCATTATCTGAGACAATATGTGCCTTCGCCATCTTCCGACCTACCAGTTCATCACATTTAGGTGTCATCTGCAGCATCCCAATTTTCAAGTATCAAATTCTACACCCCAAAACTAAAATAAAAGCCAAGGTTATAAGGCTCCAGCCTAGCTACTTGGGAGGCAGAGATCAGGAATCTTGTTTCAAGGCCAGGCTAGGCTCTTATGCCTACATACGCGTCAATCGATGGCTGGGTGTGGTAGTGTGTGCGTTTTTACCCCAGCTATCGGGAAAGCACAATGGCTAGGCTGAGTAGTGCATGCCTGACATCCCAGGAACAAAAGGAAGCACAAATGGGATCAGAGTTCTGTCCCAGGTATAAAGGGATATCCTACCCCCACAAAAAACACAGACACTAGCAGAGTGTTGGTTCAGCAAGCACAAAACACTGAGTTCAAATCCCAGTACTCCAAAAAAATATTGAATAACTAAAGGTATCTGATTTATTTTTTGTTCATGTAAACATTGACAGTCCCAAGCTAGAACAGTGGCTCCTCAATCATTAGGAAATCATGCTCCTCCAATTTGGTCACTTTGTTTCCCTCAATATATTATTTTATGCCTTCCTCTTGGTCCAATATTGTTCTGCCTCTGCTCATCACATCCGCATTTGGGTCAGAAAAAAAGAGGAAAGGCATTTTTCCTTTACGATACTTCCTTTTTCCTTGAAGGTAACTCCTTAAGGTTTTGTATTACTCTGGTTTACATGCATTTCACCACAATTTTTTAGTCATGTGGGTGCTGACTAACTACAAGAGAGGGTAAAACTTGTCTGTGTTCTAAATAATACCTTATAGACCCCAAACCCCCAGGAATTTCAATGAAGAAGCGAGATGATAATTTGGACACATCACAGCCTCCTCTGCATTTTCCTTGTCTTCAAATCTACTGAAGGTCTAACCTATGAGGAATTACCCACTGAAGACAGTACACACAGAATCAAATACAAATCTCTCATTGAAGCAAAACTGGCCCTCCCCACTCTCCCCTTGAAGTTCAGCATTTCTGCCAGAGTCAGCACCATCATGGGCACACATCGTTTAGGTAGGAATGGACAAAACCTGTTCAGGAAACTTCACCATCCTGCCCAGGGGCCCCTCACACTTGCACCACCCACAACTTATGCGAGCCAGTCCTCATCTCTGTGTACTCTGGACACTTGGGGTATTTGTCCCTGAACCTCTGGATTCCTGTTGTGATCAGGTAAGTGTCCAGGATTTCCCCCAAGCTGCCCTTAGGCTTCCAACAGGACTGTCCAAATCAGAGGAAGAGTGAAGAAGAGGCAGTCACTGAAAGTCATGGGGATA